CCAACATTCCTGACTGCAGTTTGAGTCCTTGGTCCCAGTGGTTGTCCTAGCCCTTCCATGCACCTTCCCATTGCTACACTCTGTAGCAGATCACTGTCTGATCTCCCTAAGGTCAACTCATCCAGTCTACCACTGTGCAGGACTCCTATGAGCACGCCTGGTGAGGCAGCCACTAAGGAAGCCTTGCTTTCAGCTTGAATGTAGTTTTCCTAGACATCAGAGCGTGTGCTGTTGGGTTGTGAGCCTTCCTGTACCTAGATCCAGGCCTGAAAACCTATGTTTGAATCCATCAATGTCCCTGCTTCCACCCTGCCCAGCAGACAGCCCTCGCTGTCTGCACCTGTTACAGGTCAGCACTGGGGGCAGCTAGCAGCCCTGCAGGACCAATCCACAGGCTGGATGCCTCCTGGTGCCTGTTTATACACCCCATAATATGGGTACCATAGTAAGCGAGCATGGTGGCTTATAGCTGTGATCCTAACACCCAGGAAGCTGAAGCTGGGCTGAGACGAGTTTGAGGATAGCCTGGACTGATTAACCAGACGCCAGCCCTATAGACTGCATCTCAACTACCAAAACTGAGCATCTGTGTCTGTGTGTCTGTATAGAGAGATATTTGTGATTGGTCATCCATGGTGTGGCACGTATCAGTGCGTTCCTCACTGCCAAGTAGAGGTCCATTGTGTAAGTGACACACCTCATCTGTCTACCAGCAATGTACCAACATCTCTATGGTTTGCTCCTGTGGATAGCCATGGGGAGGATTCATACACAACATATTAGCTCTATGACCCCTCTTCCCACCCCCTCAGCGGGTGTCCAGGGGGCTTCCTTCAAAGGGACCAGCAGCACCCCATCCACACTTCTTCCATGCCACCACTATTCCTATTACAACACAGTTCTGACCTGGGGACAGGTCACTTTCCAAAATAAAGACGGTATCTTTATCTTCCAGTATAAAGGAGGACAGTGGTAGGCTGTCCCAGCAGCTGCTGAGTACCACAGCCTCTGCTCCTACCTGGGCTTTCCTGGTTACCCTGTTCTTCACACCCATCACCCCAACTCCAGCCGAGGTCAGGAGCCTTTCCTGAGTAGTCTGCCAACACAGCATCTGCTACATGACTCCCCAGCTGACCTGGGCTTAGCTATGTGAGTACCACAGCGACATTCCTGTCAAATATTGTTTCATGAACAATTTACTGAGAAGATGGTATCCACCCTTCAGAAACTATGAGTTGGGGAGCTGTCTTAGTTGGGGTCACTACTGCTGTGATGGAAACACAATCCACTGAAAGGCTGTGACAGTAACTCAAACTGGGCAGGTGCTGCAATTTAAAAAAGCGTTGAGCAAGAGAAAGAAGCCATGTGACAGGGCTTGGGGAGAGGGTTTTTATTGTGGGAGGGTGGATGGGAAAAGTGGGGGAGGGGAGGAGAGAGGGGAGACTGGCCTCTGGGGATAGGAGTGGCATAAGAGAAGAGACAGACAGAGCGGGGAGGAGGAATGGGAGGGAGGGAGGGAAAGGTAGACAGAGCCCTTTTAAAAGGGAACATGTGAATGTGCACAGGAGGTGCTCTTAGTGGCAGCAGCTGAGGGCATATCCTGTCAGAACCCCAAGGACAGACACAGTACAGATGCCTGAATACTAACAGCAGGAACCTGGAGGCAGGAGCTGATGCAGTGGCCATGAAGGGGAGCTGCTTACTGGCTTGCTCCCCATGGCTTGCTCAGCCTGCTTCCTTATAGAACCCAGGATCACAGCCCCAGGGATGTCAGCACCCACCATGAGCCGGGCCCTCCATCAGTCACTAATTAGGAAAATGCTCCACAGGCTTGCCTACAGCCTGATCATCTGGACACATTTTCTTAATTGAGGCTCTACCCTCTCAGATGACTCTAGCCTGTGCCAAGTTCAGCACAGGGATGGTAGGAATGGATATTCTTAACAGTAATATACCCTCCCAAATGTATTTTTTTCTTCCCCTTCACAGGTCTCTCTGACTGGCTTCAACCCCACATCCCTGACTCCTGCCTCTGGAGGGCTGTGATTACAGGAACAGGGCCACCACATCAGGCTGGAATTTCAGGTCATTTAGAGTAGACTTATTCCTGGTGCCTACAAGTATCCTCTACTGTGGAAAATGGCGAACCCAGTGGTCAGTGTAAAGCTCTTGTCTTTCCCTTTGCTGTCTGGAAGCTAGAAGAACATATCTCCACCTAGAACTTTGGTCAAGTCCTTTTGGCCTAGGCTTCCTGACATTTTTTTTTTTTTTAGCATTACAAGATTCTACTCCTCATCCAAGGTCAATATATTTAAGTTAGGATTCATTACCCTTCCTCACGGAAAAAAAGAAAAAAAAAATAAGTCAGAATTGTCAAAGTGGGACTTGTAGTTGTGTCTGACTTAAGTCTAAGCAAATCTCTCCCTAGAAAAGCATCTATAATGAAATGAAAGCTGGAACATAGGTCTATGACAGAAAAAAAAGGGGGCATGGGGTGCTTGTCCTTAGTTTTTCCCTTCCTGTCAGCTTGGTTGGTCTGTCTCTTGGTTTGCTGTCTACTGATGTGATAAAGCACCATTACCAAAGGCTACTTATGGAGGGAAGGGCTTATCAACTTACTTAGAGTGTATCTATCGAAGGCCATCGCTGAGGCGTCAGGGCAGGAGCTAATGCAGAAGCCATGGAGGAATTTTGCTTACTGGCTTGCTCAACCTTGTCTTTCTTGGTTGTAAGCCTAGCCTTTTGTGGCCAAGCCATCTCTCCAGCCCTCAGCCTGCTTTCTCACACAATTCAGGTGCCATTGGAGGGCACCTCCCACACTGAGCTAAGGCCGCCCATCTCATTCATCAAGAAAATGTCCTAAAGACTTGCCTACCAGTTTCCGCTTCCCAGGTGACTCTAGCTTGTGTCAGGATGACCAAAAAACTAACCATGACAATAAGATATATCAAGGACACATTGTTAACTTTTAAAGTAGCTAAGTCTTTCAATTTTCCTACTCAAGCAGTTAAGAGGCAGAATGTTCCCTTCTTGTTAAAGTCTCTAGTACCAAGCCACTGTGAAGACCCCCATCTATGTGCTGAGTCATGAACTTTTCTTCCCTATGTAGGAAAGGTTGGGCCTACCTAAGGGATGTCTTGCTATCCTGCCTTCCTCTGCTCTCTGATTTTTCTGTAAATTTGAAGTTTTTGGACTCCAGAAGGGACAGTTTAACCATATCTAATTTTCACTCTTTCTCTTCTCTGCCCCCTCACCCCCTCCACACCAAGTTGTGAGAAACAGCAATCCACCACCCTATCTCCCCTACCCCAGCCAATTCAGAGGCTGGAGGACAGCATCTTCATAGTTTTCTTCTTTCAGTTGCTCTCCTATGGGAGCAACCATTGTCATAGAAGCCCCATGTTGGAATTAATACAAGTGCCTATCAAAGGGCAAATGAGTTGCCCAAATTCAGTACTCATGAAAAGGAAAGTAGTAATGCATGTAAAAATGTTACAGCACAACCATGAATACATAATGCCCACAGAAGGCAAATGGTACAGGCTTGCACATTAGGGTCAACATAGCTGGGCATCAGAATAAGGATTAATGGCAAATGGACACCTGTAGTGATGATTGAATACATTCTGGTACATAAAACACTGCTTTTGTGATTATTCTGAGGCAAGTTCTCACAGAGACTCACGCTGTCTTGGATGTCACCACATAGCTGAGACTGACCTTGAACCCTTGATTTTTCTACCTCTAACTCCCTAGTGCTAGGATAACAGCCTGGTGTGTAAATTATAGTTTGATATAATTTCTGGGAGAAAAAGGCTTACCAATGAAACATGTCCATCTTACCTGGACTACTGGAAATTTCTGGTTCTCTCATTCCTTCAGAACTTTGGAAGGATTTATCTAATGAAAAATATATTTACAGGGCTGTTTTTTTTTTTCATACTATTCCACAAACTTAGCACTCTTCTGGGCCACTTCTGAAGGCTAAAATCTATTGGGATCCACTAAACTCAAGATGGACCCAGGGTAGAAAAAGACTTGGAGTTTATAAACAGCCCAAAGCCCCACACCTTATGGTTTTGGAAGGAAAGTGGCATGGAGCCCTCATCTCCCACTAAAGAGGATAAAATGGCTTTCCATTCCCCCAGTTACTTGGACAGCATGTCTGTCTCGGGGATTTTCTCTGAAGACAAGGCCCTTTATCAGCCATATCCCTTAGACACTTTAGGAAAGTGGACTGATTCTCCCTGCTCCTTTTGGAGAACACTGTGCTGTTGTCACAAAATGTGCCTGTCACTAATCTTCACTAAGTGGCCCTGGATGTGTTAATGATTCCACAAAGCACAACACCCCTGTGTGAGTAAAGACACCAGGCTGTCAGAGTGGCTACTGGGTTAGGGAAAATTGTCTAGACCTGATTTTCTTTGCTGCAACTCCCTCGTCTCCAAAATACATAGGCCCATTCTCCATGGAGGTCCAAAAAGGGAAGGAGACTCTTAAAGGAGCTCAGGTAATAACGGCGTCTCCCGTGAACCTGAGGTTTGCACCTGTTGCCACTCTGTTCATCCCCGCATCGGTCTGAGCAGGGCAGAGAACTCTAAGTTGCAGTGTTGTTGCTTCCAGAAGGATGCACTGGGCTGAGCAGGATTACTGGAGGCATTCCAGGTTTGCTCAAGTGAAGGGGAAGGCTGCCTACCATTCAAAAAGTACTTAATCCCACCAGAGCAGACACAGCCAAAGCACCTGTTGGCTTTTGGCCCAGCCCTGCCAGCCTGCCCTTTCCCACTGGATATGGGCGGTAGTAGAGGCACAGGCACTATTACCAACGGGCTACTCCTCCCTCAACACATAGGGGCCACTTCATGTTGTCTAATCAGCACACCTCTCTGGTGCAAGGGGTGGGGCTGTCCAAACTCAAGTGAGAACGGAGCAGGCAGCTCATTGTTTAGAAGCCCAACGCTTGCAGAATGCTCCTCCAATGAGAAAGTGGCACAGCAAAGTCAAAATACCATCAATCTTTTATTATTATTATTTTTCTATCTCAGCTTCAGTAAAAAGAGTCAGAAAACTGATTGACACATAGCATAAACTTTCACCCATATACAGTATATATACAGTGTTGCTTCCATTTCCTTTTCATTGAACTAGGTATTGTTACCTCTGTTCAAACCCAAGTGCAAATGAGGCGAGAAGGGCACAAATGAAGGGGATGGTCTTTGATCTCAGTGACTGCACGTGTGCCACCCACCATAAGGAGAACAGGAGACATCAGCATCCCAGTGATGGGTACCAGACAGCAGCAGGTTCCCAATGGTCATCACTGCACTTGGAGACGTTCCTAGTCCTCATTTGTCCACCACATCACAACATTAGCTGAAGCCTCTTCTGGTGAAAATGTAATGCTGATCTGAGTCTGGCTCTTCTGCTGATTGGTTGCTAAAATATAGTCCATTTTCATATACATGCTATAAAAGTAGGCTAGAAATGTTAATCTTCAGAGCTTTGTTAAAACTAAGAACTTATTTGTTTTTTTTTTTAATATGGCATCATACCCAAATGTATACCCAAATCTAAAAGTCTGTTTCAGAAAAGCTTTTACTGTAACCCCAACAGTCCTACTAGTTTCATCCCTTGTTTAAGAGAAGATTGATTTTTAATACATAATAAGTAATGCTGTCTCCCATAGGAACATGGTGGGTGAGGGGAGTGTGCCAACTGCCGTGTTGCCATTGCATGCTCCCATCACAAGGTTTCGCTGTGCTGCTGTGCTGCCTGCGGCTCTTTACTGACAACAAGCAGAGCAGGCAGTGGGGACAGACAGACAGAGCAGGGGAGGTTGGAATGAACTCACAGGCGGCCCCACTGAGAAGTGATTGCCCGTGCCAGTGCTTTCCGAAGGTTTGTGCAGAGGCAGGACACGATGCAGACTCAATGCAGCCCTGGGGCACAAGTCACCTTAGCAGAGACCACACATTCTGTGGACGGAGGGTCTCTGTCTGCTGTGCTCACCACATACCCTGTGTGAGGCTGGCACACACCATGGCTGGAGGCTTATCCTCAGAACCCGGGCATGTCTACAGCAGGAAGGAAATGTGTGATAACTGAAATTCATTTCTAATTTAGACAAAATATTTACACTTTTCAATACCAAAATAGCCTTTACAGTGTATCTATTTCTCCCCTCTGAACACTGATGTGGGAAAACTAAGTGATTTGTGAATGTCACCCACATTTGCTATGTTAAGTATGGCTATGGTGTGCACATAGCAACAGGAGCTTATGTCTAGGGCTAAGAGGTTTCCTTTAGTCTGGTTATAATGTTCGGCCCACATGAGGAAGGTGTGGCATTCATGTGCTTTTCTTCATAATGGTTACTACTTCTGCTTGATTTTTACTCTTGGACTTTGTGATGTCATGGGAAGAGCAATTACCACCAGGGAATTAGCTGGCCAGGGCCTGGGTCTCTGGACAGGACTCTTCTCTTACTCAGGTGAGGTGTACAGACAGCTGCAGGCTGGCCCTGGGCTGCCATGCAGTGCCCCACCTCAGCCATGCCCCTGCCTGCTTCCTGGGACTCCATGAAATCAGTGCACAGGGAACAAAGAAAAGAGGAAGCTACCACTGAGCCACTGGGTGACTGTGCCTGCAGCCCCCGGGGACCCACTTCTGTGTCTCTTGAGAAGTTGGTTATGTTTTTTAAGAAGTTTCATCAGAAATGGCTTCTGACACCCGCTTTTAAACAAACCGATAATGGCATAGGTTTCAGCCTCTAGGCTCCAAATTTTGAAACTACTTAAAATCAGGACATTTCCACTCAGCAGACTATCGTCTTTGACCAGAACCCAGAAGTGGAGTCCCTGCATGGTGTGTGAGACCCTGGGTTCCATCCCCAGTACCATGAACAAACAACCAAAAAAGGAAAAAAAAGGAAAACAGAAAAAAAGTGGACAGTAATTCTTTTTCTTTCTTTTTTTAATCTAACTCAGCTCTTCAGAAATACTTGAGTCTATAAGAGGAGGAAGTCCCAGAGAACTGGCTCCCCAAGTGCCTGCAGCAAGCAACGGGCTACAGTGAGGCAGTTCCCAGTGCAAAGATCAACGTTTGTGCAAAAGGTCACACTGCCAGGCACAACCCTAAGAGGGTCTCAATTTATAGTGTTTGACTCTAAGACACAAGTCTCCGAACCATGGAACCCAGCAGTGAGGGCAGAGACGTTAACTTTGGAATGCACATCTTAGAAAAGTATAGGATCTTTCCTAGGTGGGCAGCTGCTACGCTCTCATCACTTAGATCACGTGTTTGTTAAATATTCACAGTAATTTCAGAGAAAGAAACATTCGTATCTGTAAAACCTGCATCTGTCGAGTTTTTAGCCCCTTGCCAGCTCAGTGCAGGACTTCAGAGCTGTCCTGCGAGCTCTTCCTTGGCAGTCCATCCTTTCAGGGCAGCTACGCCTTCAAGGTGGGCTGCAGGATTCCTTTCTCAATGAGATGAGTCTTCAGCGTTTTGTAGATGTTTAATTGCTGTTCTGGTTGAAGCACCAACAGCTGCTGGAGGACTTTGCTGGGATTCGGACCCCTGATGAGGAAGCAGAGAAGACATGGTCACACTTTTTACACAGGGACTAAGTGAACTCCTGAGAACCCATTCTTCAGGGCTAAGCAACCACTGCTACAGAACTAAGACAGCTCTCCACAAGATCCCCATGAGTGCCCAGCGCTCGTGTCCAGGGCAGCAAAGGGCTAGAACGACTATGCCTGGAGATGCAGGAGGGTAGACATGGAAGGAATGGATCAGCAGGCACAGATCAGAGATCTAAGGGCAACTAGACAAACAATAAATCCTCAGGCCAGGAGAAACAGGACAAACCCTAAAGAGGGCACAAAAAGAAATTTAAAATGTTTAGCCTCATAGAGACTAGACTCTCGGGGGACTATGATCATTCATCTGAGAGACAAAACACTAAAGTCCTGCACCAAAGCTCCTACCCTAGATGTGCCATGGTGTTGGTGCCCTCTTCAAAGTCCCAGAGAAATGCCAAGAAGCAGATAGCATTAAGAGCTCCTCTGCTCTCTGAACAGAGGCCAAGGATAGCCCTGGCCTCCAGCCCATCCACCACAGCAGCCCATGCAGGAGGAAGGGGCCCGGGCCCAGGGAACAGCTACATGCCTCTGGGCCATGACCCAGCCCACCACCCCTCTCTCCTTGGACTCATTCTGCTCCAGGGGTCTTTCGTGTGCGACCCAGCTGGGGGACAAGGAGCTCAGAGAAACTGCAGGCAGAGTTCTTCCTTCACACCCTAGCTTCTGATAGCACTGCTGCAGCCATGGCAATGTGATTTCGCATGGCCTGGCCTTGAGAGCTAAGCACATGTACATCCTGCATGTACACTTCTAAAACAATGGTCTGGGAAATAAGACAGACATAGTAGCTTATACCGATAAGCTCAGTAGTGGACATGCTGAGGCAGAAGGATTACCATGAGTTGGAAGCCAGGCTGGACTATATAGTGAGATTCAGGTTAGTATAGGTATGGTCTACAGAGTAAGACTGTATCTCAAAAAAAAAAAAAAAAAAGCCCCAAACCTACCACCTTAAGATATGTGTATAATTATTGTCATTAAATCATTAAATCTTCACCAATGCACGTTTAGAGGGGTTACACGTGTGAACAATGGTGGAATCTAACTGGAAAATACCATGAGCAAAATATGTTGGATAGCCAGAATTCTGAGACACACATTAAAAACAGGTAAGTAAATTATTTATAACACAATTTTTAAAACCAGAATTGTAAGAAATGGAAATCGTAGGGACAAGGAAATGTCTTCTTTAGAATTATCACAATGGGGATGGACAGAGACACAATTTATTCTGAAAAAATATTTGACTTAAAACCACAGCACAGAGCAGCCATTACATCAGTCAACTTTATGTCTCAAGGATAACTGGCAGAAACCTGTGGCCATGTGTCCCTCACAGCCAAAGTCCACTCAAATTACAGCCCAGCTTGTCTTGTTACATTCCATGGCATAACCTGGAGCAGCTGCCCACAGAGAAAGGAGCCACCCCAGCAAGTTCAGCTAAATGGAAAGCAATATCAGCAGGGGTTTCCAGGAGTAGGATCCAGGGCATTGCTGCCTTCCAAATAGGACAAGGATCTGCTTTCAGAGGGCAGGCACATGGCTCAGCATGACTTTACCTCTGAGAAAGTACAAGATAAATGCCTTAAAAGCCTGAAAAATAAAGCTTTTGATGTTTGCTTTTTAGTTTTATTTTTAGGGATTAACTATGAATTACTAATGCCAAACTCTATCAACAAGAAAATGCCTTACAAAAAGACAAAGTCAATTGATGGGGGTCATAAAATAATAACAAAACCAGAAAAGAAAAACACTGTTGGAAATGACACAAGGGACTGCTATCTCTAAGCAACTGGAAGCCACCGCTGCGGCCTCCTAACATGCGATGGAGCAGGCAGCCAGACAAGTGGGGAAAGATGGTGACACGGTGACCAAGTTGAGGGATCCCACAAACAACAATGCTATGTCACTGTATTTCAATACAACCTCAAAAGACATGATTTAAAACTTACACGTTCCTACCAAAGGAGAGAAAGCAAGAATTTGTGACCATGGGCAGACACCCCACAGCGCTGTTTAGGTAGAGCAAGCACTCACAATTCAAATGACAGCACTTAGTAGCACTACACCCGACACATATTACATCTACTAATTGCAAGGTGGACACCTGCTTCTGTGCAGATGCCAACTGTACCAGGAAAGATGATGTGCTGGGCCATGAAGCAAGGGTTAAAAATTAGGCTCTTTCAACTTCACTGAAACTAAAGCAAATACCAATACAGAAAGAACAAGAAAGTCTCCATTTGTTTGGCAATCAATCAATATACTTCTAAACAACCTGAGTGTCAAGAGACGGTGATACAGGAAATTGAAAAGCCTATGCAACTGACTGATAGAAATGAGCACACTGGAACATTCAAAAGCTAGAAAAAGAACAAATTAAACTTTAAAAAAATAAAGAAACGAAAAGATGAGCATAAGTCAATGAAGGAGAAAACAAATATTAAAAAGGGGAAGTTGGTAAAATTTAAGACTGCAACATCCCTCCCCCCAAAAGATGAATACAAAAATTCTCACACTAATATGGATGTGTACTTTTAAGTGTACATTAATGAATTTCTAAATGTAAGTTTCCCTCTAAATTACTCTGACGAAAACATATTTTGCGTGGCCTTCCCGGCCCAAGTGGAGACCACGGAGATCCAATCACCATGCTACTACATGTTACAATGGTGCTAAAACTGCCGGTGCAGGGCAGATGTGAGCCATTAATATCTAGTAACAAGAACAACCAACCACCTACTAAACAGCCACCTCCTCCTCCCCCTCACACACCCAGCGGTAACCTCCCTGTCAGCTGAAACCATCACTGTTACCTCTTTATTTCTTACTTCAGACCCTCTGATCTCTCAGCAAGAAGCTGAGGTTAGGGGTGGGGAAGTGGGGGACGGCTTTGCTTTATTCTGTGCTGTATTCATACCTAGAGCACTCTATGGCAGGTCACAGACACTCACTCAGGCAATAACTGGGCTGAATGAACTGTCTTCCATAACAGCGTTTCAGTGCAAGGCCCACACAGTTCAGAAATTCGATCTGCTTGTATTCTGAACCTAGCATGAGCCACATTAGCTGGGTCTTTTAATTGAGTCCTGATAACAATCATGGTGTATACACTACCTGTAAGTTGCTCAAATGCATTCAAAACAATGAAGATTGGGTCCTACTACTTAGAGCTACAATTCCCTTTAACTTGACGACATTAACTACCATTGATTCAAGCAGTTAATTTTAATGGCATCTCAAAAGAATCATGTAATTACAAGTTTTGTTTTTAACAAAAAACTTACCTTATAAAACTTGTGATGTACACATGCACAAACGTTGCCATCAAATACTGACAATCAAACCTGTCCATTATCCCACCATGTCCAGGAATGGTGTTTGCGAAATCCTACAGAAACAAACAAATGTGCAAAAATATCACCTGTCTTTTCAGTATTACAGACTTTATAAGGAAAACAAATTTACTATTATTTTTTTCTATCAAATACAAATAAATGAGAATATAACCAACAGATAAAAATGTTATTTTTCAAATCTCCACTCACAGTTTCATGATTTCCAAATTGGCCCACAACATTGAAATAACACTAAATATAATTAAATCTAGCACTTTTTCTCATTAATGTAATTTTCCTAAATTAAAAAGTCTACCAGCCATGCTTATCTAATTTGTAACTGCCTATGCCACTGCATAGCAGAAGCTGTGTGGGAGCTGCCTCAGTGTGTCACAGATGCACAAGCATTTCTAACTCATGTTTATCCAAAACACTCCGGGGACAAACAATCTTCTTTCTGCATTGAGGGGAAAATGAACACAGCAGCTGGCTCATTGACAACATCTTCGCCCAGCAAACAGCCTGATGAGAGGCTAGGTGGTGAGGTTTCTGCAGATGCACTGCCCGAACCCCAGAGAACACAGTTAACTTGTGGACTGCTGGGGACTCGGAAGAATGTTCTTCAAAGCCTGACATGACAGAAAGCCTGGTAACCCCAAACTAACAGGATGAGCAGCTCTTAGTCAGAACCCTTCAAGTGAGCCTGGGCAATGCCTAAAGTCTTGAAGCCACTAAGGCAACATTCCATCTCCCAAAGAGGCTAGAACTTTTCAAAAGAAATAAATATGGCATGGCCAAACTCACCAAAACAAGAAAACACTCAAACCAGCCAGGTAGCATGGCTGCGAGGCTAAAACAAATTTCAGGGATGGTTTGATTCCCATGGGCTTAGTGTGGCCAGTTGTGGACCACATCCCAATGACAATATAGCTCCTACTTACATTACAATAGCAATGCAGCAGAGAATGTAAAAAAAAAGCAAGCATACCTTGATTTTAAAAGCTCTTTTGAATCCACTGGCAAAGAAGCCTCCAAATGGGCCAATGAGCGATGCAAATGTTGAAAGTGCAATGCTATGTATCTGGAAGGGATATAAGCTCACTGTTTCCTAAGGAGGAAAAAGTGGAGAGAGCCAGCTGCATTAACACTGTACTTATTCCTGCCCCATAACCCGGAACTGTGGCAGACACAGGAGGTCAAAACAGGCCACATTTCTGTTAACTTCTCAAGCTTTAAAGACCACAAGAGAAAAATGTCATCATTGGCAGTCTCCATGCCCTGTGCCAACTCCCTGCACAACACCACAGCCTCAGTATCACACCTGGTAGAATTCCAGCTCGGCAGGAACTCAGGAAACAGCTGCATGGGAGATTCACACTCTCTTTTGCTCTTTTGGCCATAGTACTTTGTTCTTAAAACCATAGGATTTATTTTAATTTTATAACACTAACTTTAAATAATGAAATAGCAAAAAGTCTTTGTTGCAAAAAACTAAGTTGAAAGCTATGGAAACAGGAAAAAAAAAATTCTTTTTCTTTCTCTTTTTAGAACTGCCTTTTTGAGGCAGGGTTTCTCTGTGTAACCTTGCCTGTCCTGGAACTTGCTCTGTAGACCAAGCTGAACTCGAGATTAAAGGTGTGCTTCACCAAAGCCCGGCTCAGAAATAAGTTTCTTAAGGTACTGTCAAGGGGTAGTGGCATGTACTCTGTAAGCTGACACAGGAGTACCTTGAGCTGAAAGTCAGCCTGGGCTACATGGTAAGACCCTGTCTCAAACAAAACAAAACATGTCAAAATGAGCATGAACAAAATGATTACAGAAGACTTAGAGAAATCATCTGAACAGAAGTTTGTATTTTTAAGGGTATGGCTCTTTTCTGCCTTAAGTAGCTATGAACTAAAAGCAGCTCATGAAAGATGTGCATCCCAGGAAATTTTGGATCTGTTCTGAAAGAACAACATTGCTCCAAACTTTAGACTGGTACCAGCTTAAGTTTTATAGCATGGAACAGGAAGCGTGGATATTGAAAAAAAAATGTTTAAAACCAAATATTGAGCATTCAGAGATAAATTACTTGTAGGTTAATGTGAGTCTGAAGTACAACGAGCTCAAACATGCATGTGTACACAGTTACTGTGCATCCTTGGTTGTGTTCTGCTGCTGTGAAGGAAGGGGTTATTTGGCTCACAGTTTACAGTCCCTCATCAAGGCAAGTCAAGGCAGGCACCTGGAGAAAACCTTGCTTGCTGGCTTGCTTCGCCTGGCTGGCTCAGCTACTTTCCTTATACAGCTCAGGTCCACCTGCCTGGGGATGACACCACCCACAGTGGGCTTGGCTCGCCTCCATCTATCAGCAATTAAAACGTCCCACAGGACAAGCCCACAGGTTCCCTCTTCCCACGTAAAAACTAACCAGCCCACCTTTTCCCACTTTAATGATGCAACAACATACAGGAGGAGCCTATCTAGGAGTACACGGAGGAATGAGGTCTCAGATGTTTGGTGGCAATGGGAAGACTCATTTTTAGAAGACTTCTATAATAATAATAACCCCTAAAAAAAACCAAGGACTCTTTCAACTGATGAGTCTTAAGTTTTATACTTACTAAAATCATATGAGTAACCTGTATCCATTTATTCATAAAAATCTTCATATTTATTTTTAAATTTTATTTTAAAATACTTTTTAAAAACATAAAAGAAATTGCTATCAGTATTTTTAAATCATTATGCAAATAAATTCCTAGTGTACAAACACATGCTTGGAAATGTTAGTACCCATTTGATGTTTTTGGAGGAAAGCACCAGGACACCACTTTCTAGGGAAACTCAGCTGGGAGTGATGGGTCTCCAATCACACATGCCAGCCATTGGCTCTCACCCGTCTCAGCACTGCCTTTAGGAATGGAGGGAGGGAGTAACTCTGGAGCTGGAACAGTTCTGAGGGCTCACATTCTGTCACGAAAGAGTTGACATCACTTCTGTATTCCACTGGGCACACAAAGTACTGGTATTTGGACAACACATAGGCAGCCTGAGGAACAAAGTAAGAATCCATGAGATACTGCCCCAGTAAAAGGAAGCAGAGAGCCACAGGATAGAGCCAGGTGCCGAGTGTCTTTGCGCTGGCATTTGACTCTGTATTCACACAGTTAGGTCAGGAGGGTCCCAGGAAAAAAAACCCTGAAAAAAACTTCAGAGAACAGAAGAATTTTTAAAAGTAGTGAGATCTCCATACAGTGGTCTTGAAAGAGCCTCATGGGAGATCTTACTTTTACATGTTACTTATTATTATTCTAAGTGTGTATCCGTGGTGTGTATGCACATGCCAGGGAACTACTCTGTAGAGTCAGTTTTCTCCTCCTCCTAAGTGAACTATGGGGTAGTCAAACTTGGGTCCCCAGGATTTGCACAGAAAGTATCTTTACCCACACAGTCATCTCTCCAGCCCAAGACCTTACTTTTTAAAATTCTACATAGTTACTCTTAGCAGGGCTTTAAAAGACACGGGATAGGAGTGCATTATAAAGATATGGGCTGTGCAGGTGCCCTTATTGTACATAGATTTGTGTTAATTTCATCAGTGATACAAAAATCACTAAGCAAACAGTACAAGACAGTGCAGGTGAAGGGTACCACTGTCCCTTACCAGCCCAGGATGCCTGACTCAATTATTCATCATTGCAGTCTTTAAAATTAGCCACCTTAGCCATGCAAATGGGAGATAAATAAAAACATATTCTACATTTGATTCTGTTTCCCTTCTGGGCACTCTATTGTTTTCTCAACAACAGCAGAAATTCAACAATGCTGCTAGGAATAGATTCTAACTGCTTTTGTTTCCAAATGAGCCAATTTCTTATCTGTTTGTATGTTACATTTTCAGGGTTCGCTCTTTACTTCTTCCAATGACGGGGCTTTCCATATAGAATTTCTAAATAAACTCTTATGGCATTATTTAACTTGGCTTTATTTTTGACATGTAAACCTTAAGTGGGACTGGATCCTCTATATGTATCAATGATTACTAACATTCTACCTCAAAACTTGCTTTATTCTCAAATTCTACTAGAATTTTCATTCAGAATGAATTACGTTTATAAACTAAATAGTGGGGTAGTTTGTCCACATAGGACAATGCCACAATTATTTACATATTTTCTCTTGCAAAGCTTTGTGTTGTTTTTATTACAGACTTAAATTTTTGAGTTCCCAAACAGTAAAATTTTGCATTTTTTTTTCTCGAGTGTGTTGTAATGTCAAGCAGTGTTGTCACTGTGTTACGAGTAGTTTTTCCCACCAGCCCCAAATAACACACAGAGACACTGTATTAGATATAAAGCTGTTAGCCTGTTACTAGCATTTCTTATTGGCTAGCTCTGTCTTAAATATTAACCCATTTCTATCAATCTAAGTATTTCCACATGGTCTTATCTTACCGGAGAGAGAGCCTAGCAATCCTCTCTCTCGGTCCTACATTTTGAATCTCCTCCCTACTACTTCCTCTCTCCTCCTGGTCTCCTAGTCCTGCCCATCTTGCTTTCTTAATGGCCAAGAGTACTTTATTCATTAACCAATAAGAGAAACATATTTACAGAATGACATCTCCCATCATCACTGTGCAGGTCTTGTTTAGATGATCACTGTTAAGATTTCGTGGGTGCAGCTCCATGGCAAATATGGAAGACACTATCTTGTGGCAGACATCTTGGTTCTCTGGATCTAACGATCTTTCCTCCCCCTCTTCAGAGATGTTCCATGGGTCTTAGGGGTTAAATTGCAGATGTACTGGTGGGGATGGGCAGCCTGTCTTATATTTAAGGGGAAATGTGGCTCTCACTTCTCAACAAAGTTCTTTCTGAACCCACACTAATCAAACTGCAGAGAATGACTAACTACAGGTGCCTAGGTGCTTGTTTACTAAGTTTATGACTCCATATGCACATTTACTAAGTTTTAATAAAAATATTACTAGCATTTTGTGGGTTTTGTAGGCTTAGAAAAGGCTAAAATCTAACAATGCATTTTCAGAGTATAAATAAAAGTGAAATCCCAGTAAAACTCACAATGAATCCGAATATGACTGTGGAGAAGAAACCACCAATGAATCCTTCCCAGGTCTTCTTAGGAGACAGCTAAAAGAGGCCAGATACGATAGAGTTATTACATGCACAAAACCAGGGAACGGGCATGCTTCATTGAGTCCCCCAACACCCTATACATCTCTTTCCTTTTATTTGAATGGGTTGAAACTCCAGTTGTGCATGGCATGGTCATGTCAAGAAGGACCTCAGCATGTGTCTTGGGAAGCATCCAACGCAGGGCAGCCCCTCAAACATGCATGATGCAACCCCTCAATTGTGTGATGTAGCCCCTCAAACGTGTGATGTGTTGTAATATATCTATCTTCAAGTTCTTTTTTTTTTCTTTCAAAGGGCTATAAATTCAATATTGAAATAGTTTTCTCATGACTTGCATGCTTCTCTTGGAATAAGACTGTTAGTCATCCCACACAGACCTGCTATTGACCAGAGAACAGAAGGAATCTAACAAGGCACAGACATTTGACATTCCAGGTTGTCACTTTTTGTCAGGTAGGCTAGGGAGACAGGGTCCCATTGTGAAGAACTTGCAGCCCTCCTGCCTCAGCCTCTCAAGTGCTGAGATTACAAATTTGTACTATTGTGTTCAGCTGAGTCCTAATATGCAAGACATACAAGCTTTCCTTCTGAATTATGTGCCCATCCCCATATTTATGTCTATCTTTAAAAAGCAGGAACATACCGTGTTTCTGAGGAAAGACACTGGGTGTGTTTCACAGTCTGGCTATTATTTCCCAGTAAACAAAACATTCAGAGAGTTAAAATCTGGAGGTAAGTCTGGAACTTGGTGGCATATGAGATAGGACAGAAACCTGGAGTTGTGCTCCTAATTGACAAAGTTGCCATGGAAGGTAAGAATTAAAATGAATCTGACAAGTGGGCTGGTAGGAGCAGCGCTCTCAGGGGAAAGGGATGCTCTTTGTAGACTTCTTACCCTGAAGTTGAGAAACTGCTAGCTGGGCAGTGATGGTTTCTTAACAAATCTTAGAGAGGGAACCAACACACCTCCCCTGGGATAACCCCGTGTCTGTATGAGTGCCATCGAGTGGACTCAAAGTGTCCTCTGATGGTTTAAGAGAGGCTTCAAGCTGACTCACACCGGATCACGAGGCCATTGCCCAATCTCCGGGGCATATTACACAAATAATCGTCTTTGATGAAACCACTTGACAGGTATTCCCGCCCTAGGGTGGGTCTCAGTCTTCCAGCAGGTAGTTCAGAACTCATCTCATACCAGCCGAGCGCCGTGGCATGCTGACTTGCTCTGCTGCAGCTCTAGAAATCCTTCAGAGGTGCACAGCAAGCCTGTCAGCAGCCCTGCAGCTGGGCCTGCTGCTGTGTGGTGCCCACGGAAGACATCTGATGGAGGCACTGAGAGGCATGCTACCCAGGCTCTCAAGGACCACACTTGGTCACATGGCTGGCAACAGCACCGGGCTCATTCATGGGTCATACTCCAGTTCCTCCCACACTGCTTCCGCTTCGCTCAGTATGGGAACTGGGCTCCTATTGGATGCCTGGCTCAGTTGGAACCTGAGCTCCTATTGGACGCTTGGCTCAGTATGGAACCTGAGCTCCTATTCGACGCTTATATGGAACCTGAACTCCTATTGGACGCTTGACTCAGTATGGAAATTGAGCTCCTATTGGACACTTAGCTCAGTAGAAACCTGAATTCCTACAGGAAGACCCGACATTAAAAAAAAAAAATTTTTTTTTTTTTTTTTAAATGAAACCAGGCCTAGGAAAGGTTGGATTTTCATGAGAACTGGTTTCTTTCTTGCCCCAAATGAGATCTGAATAATTTAATTCACTTCCTTGCCCCCACCGTCCATAAACAACCAAAATCTAAGGCAAAACAGCAGGGCTATTGATGTGTGCTTTCCTCCCTTGTCTCACTTGTCACCCTTGGCTTTAGACCCTCCAGTCGTTTATATTTAAATAAGCTTGGGAGTCTCGGGACGACAGTACACAGAAACTAGTAAAGAGTAAAGGACAGCGTAGCTAGCCGTGGCAATGTTGGGAGTGGGTTAAAAACTGATCAATGGCCAGGAGAGAAAACACCAGCAGAGGGAAATGGAACCTCCCCACACCCCCACACCCCCAGTGGATACATGACAGCAAACTCAGAGGGGACTCTCGAGCTGGTAGCTCACTCCCCTGCACTGTGGCAAGCTGCCGCGTGCGGGAACATCTAGGTGTTCCCTGGAAACCAAAAGTATGCAAGAACACCAAAAGGTTGTCATCAAGGTGCCCTGGAAATCGGTGGTCTGGCTTTCTGCCTATGGGAGGGGCTTCTTCCTGACATTTCCCATTACCTTAATTAAAGGAGTTCTTCCAAAAAAGAATCCGAAAAGGTAAGCAGTGATGTCATTGCAGATGACACTTGATATTGGAACAAGGAACCTTTAAAACATTAGCAGAGAAAAGTCTTATGGTAAAAGAGCAAAGTTTACAGCTCAGAATGAACCCACATGACAGCCCCTTTAGATCACAATGGACGACACACTGGAGCACAGCACATGGCAAGGCCTGGCAGAAGCAGGAAACATCACACAAGCTCGCTGGCTCAGCCAGGAGGTGTAACAAACTATCACTAAATAAGACACCTAGAGAACGCTGCTAAGGTAACCATTAAATAACCAACTGCTATAGTTACAAACATTTAAAACTTAATTTTATAAGGAACAACTTGAAAAAAAAAAACATCACAAGAGCAGCCTTGTGAAATGCAAAACAAGTCACTTATGCAGCCAGAGACTGAAGTGACAAGCACACCCCAAACTCTTAAGGCAAATTCTCTTTCAGGAAAATTACTAATTTTAATCCTATAACCTTAGCCTATGACCGTATTGAACTCTGATAACTTTACAGAACCTATTTATATAAGCCATACTTCTCCCTCAATTAAAAGGTTTTATATGACATCCATCCCTAAACTAAATTGTTTACACAAATGCATGCACATTTTGGTAAGCTGGCAAAACTCCAGTTAGCTATAAAATATTCCAGTTGGTGACTCTCTGCAATGGATGGGGAGGGAGGGCCCTTATTTTCATCATCTATATGCATATACAGAACCCATTACGTCTTTCTCCATTCCAGCTCATTTCTAATTATTAATTTTGGATTACATTTAATTTAAAAAAATGCTGAGTCTGCAACCCCAGTGCTGTGGAGCAAACAGCTCTGCACATACACAGTCTACCAGCTTGCTCCTCCCCGCAAGGGAAGTAGGATCTGCCAACTGTCACCTGGAGAAAGGTGACATTTCTCCAACCCGCTTACTGAAAGCAAACTTTCACATACTTCTTGCATTCCATGTAAATAACACCTAAACTTTTGTTTTTAAAAATAACACTGGGGTTTATTAGCATCTGAAAAATGGACCGGGGTCTTGAGGAAGGCTCTCTGCATTTTACTTGGAACCAAAACAAAGGTCTGCAGTCATTAATGAAGTATTTTTTCAGTTATCAAACAGTAAGACTCAGTAATGTTAATGGGATACATCAAGTGGTTTCCATGTTGCAGTTGAAACTGGAAAGCCACTGCCTGGTGTTAGGGGATTTAAGGGTCAAGACATAAAAATAGAATGCAGCATAACACAACATAATCCCTTACCATATCATGCCTTCAAACAGATTTTGGATGACAAGATGTGACTGAGTAACGGTTATCAGTAAAGTGACATGGGTCCATGCGAACTGTTAATAGCCCAACAACACAAAAATTAGCAAACACAGCTCATCAGACAGCCAATTAGCAAGAGCAATTTTGAAACACAAATTTTCTGCCATGACTTCTGATCAAAATTTGTAAGGTAAGGTCATACAAACAAAACAGTGCAGTTAGTAAATTACACTCTTCACATTGTCCACTAAAACCCTGAAATAACAGAAACGCTTAGCAAAATAATTGTAATTTATAAAGGTAATGCTAATGCCAGTGAGACATACTATTAAGTTTTTAAGAACACAGAGCAATAAAGCACCTTGGATCACCCCATTTAAGTCACTGAGGGTTGACAGTGTTGCTTCACTGTGTGGAAACTGCGGTAGTCTTTGAGTGCTCCGCAGTTACCACACTCCAGCTCCATGCCTTTCCTGGGTTCCCTGACAACTTCCCCTGCAAAGAGTGATTCTCGAGCCCAATGCTTGACACTCGGGATTTGGCTGTCTATGTTCCATCTTCTTAGGCTGAAAGTTGGTCTTTCTAGGTCTGATCAATGACATTATGCAACCTCAAAATTTTAAAGTCCTATGCCGTTTGCCTCATCCATCATTCCCTCACCATCCTTCCCTTACCCCTTATCATGATTGATGGCTGTTTTCGTGACTTTTAGCACAATTACTATGGGCAGAATGTGACCCAAAAGCAGTCATTTGATGTATCTGGTAAATCTGATTGGCAATTACGAAGTAATTTTTCAGCTAATTCAGATTTTTATTTACTCCTAAACATGTTTTCTCAAATCAGCATGATATTTTATGTTGGTTGTTTTCCTCTATTCTTAAAGGAACAAATACTTTATACTGGTTGCTTTAAAATATTCACTTTTTTCAATAGGCAACTGGCTCTATTATATTCTACAGCTGTCCCTCCCTCTGTATCCAGTAAGTCCTACACCCACAAATGCAGGAGCCATAGACACATGGATGAAGATGTGCAGACTTATCGTGTCATTATTCCCCCAAGTAACAACTATTTTACACAGGATTTGATTATGTCAAGTCTTGTAATTAACTAGAATGATTTAAAGAGCACAGGAGGGAACAAGTGGGCCACAGAGAAACAAAACAGTCCTGGCCCAGCGTGCATAGAGTTTGTTATTCACAAGGATCCTAGAACCAACTTCCTAACAAGAGATTTGATTACTTCCAATCGGTCTTGATGTTCTTAGATTTCATTAAGATTTTACTGTAGGGTCACCTGAAATTAGAAATGTAGAAAATACTACAAGTTTCTTAGCAATAATAATTTGTAGAATGTTTTCTTAAAGAAATGCCCAAGTGGGGAGTATGATCCAATCTGAAATAAGCCTTGCTGACCCTGAATTTGTATCTCTTAGGACTGCATTGTATGTTAGACTCTTAATTAGCTCCGCTTTAGGAGAAAGAGAAGTCTAGTGTGTAAAGCAATGGATCTTAGCACACACAGACCACTTGTTTCCACTGCACAGAGTACCTCCGGCAACGGTGACCCAGGACTGACGTGACAGCCAGGGAAGCACATGCTCTGCACTGTGCTGATGCCAACAGTCAGTGTCCAAGGTCAGCGTCAATAAAACCACATGGCACACACTTGCTAGGCTTCAGCAGCTATCCCAGAAATGATTTCCCACAATTAGGGAAGTCAAACATATCCTTTATATTTTTTTTTCTTTGAAAATACTTTAAAATGTTTTAGGAACACCATACGGATGGCTGTACGTTTTAAATCTCAAAACCCTTTCAACTTCAACATTTTGATTCTAATGAATCCTAAAAAATTCAAAAATTCTTTGGGCTCAGGAAAGACATTAACTAGCTAATTTGACTGTTAACTCTTCAAGTACAGGAAAGGGATGAGCACAGCTATGGAAAACTCTTGATACACACCATATAAAACTGCAGGCGGTAATGTTTCTTCACCAAGCTCAGTACAAACATGCAGAAGCCTGTTCAAAAACAAAAGACATGTTCTGTGATTCTGTATGGAGTGAGGGATCCCCTGAACGACCCCCACCCATCCAAGCATATTTCAGCCATCACTCAACACCACCTCCCACTTTATAAGAGGCATTTTAAGTAGTTTCCTGAAAGAAGGATTTTGAAATCTCTGAAGTGCCAGGGATATTCAATCGCTATTTCCTACATTCATTAAATGAATTATTCCCTTGCTAATATGGAAATAGGAAAACATCTTAGGTCATCACTTTATCAAGAGCAGGCTGGTAGGTCAGTGGTAGAGTGTTTGCCTAGCATGTGTGGGAACCTATGCTTAATCTTCAGCATAGAAAATCCCACCTTATAAAATGTCAGTTGCTTAAGAGTATGTACAGAATGTGTTCAATGTCCATACAGCATGAAAATTAATAACCATGGCAGCTGATGCTTATTAAACACGCTATGTTCCTAACTCCCATCTAAGCTTTGACATATATCAACTCTATCTTCCCAATGTCATTCATCATCTCCATTTCACAAATGCAGAAAGAGGTTTTGTTTCTTCTTTGGGGATCAGAGAATTAAAAGAAATGTTTGATGCTCCTGGCTCTCAAGTCACGCAATTCCATGGAAATGCAAGTGTCATAAATATCTTGAAATTTGTCAGACCAGTAGTGAAAATACAGTAAAATGTAAAGCTTTTTAAGTAACTTATTTCCTGGTGCTTGAGTTGCATCACATACGTTTGATTATAATTGCATCACATACATTATTACAATAAAGATGTACTGCAGTTGCCCAATTCACTGAGACTGCCTAATCATATACTTTTCTCGGAACACCAGAAAACTGATAAAGACACTTCTGGCAGTGGTGGGTCCTGGAAATGCATAAACTGAGTCTAAGATAACTGCCATGCATTCTGCAGTGAGGTTAGAGTGAATCTGACACAGAAACTGGACCTCTATGGCTACTGACCTACACCACATGGGACAAATACTAGATTTTGCATCTCTTTACTCAGTTTACTAGGCAGTATAACCAAGGATGCATCTCTCCTCAGGACAGAGGCCCAAACAGCAGCTGATCTGTCTGTCTTTCAAAACTGACTTTGAATATCCAACGTTAAGGATATGGCAAAGTAAGGGCAGTGGGGAAGTGACCACAGTTCCTGCCTCCTATTTTTCATCTACAGAGTAGTCAGACTTAGTGGGCTACAAAGCCAGTAGGGAAGCAGTCTTTGGTGCAAATCCAACAACTTAACATTCAGGATGGGGAAGGAGAGAGGGTATGAATGCAAGGAGAAAAGGTCTAAGGGAAAGAGGGCATGAATGCAAAGAGAGAAGGTCTAAGATCATGGGGTCTGTGCTGCTTCAACTGCCAAGTGTATAAAAGTCTTGCTTTTACTGCCTTTAAGTTTTCCTTCTGTGAGGACTAGATGTTTTTTTTCATTATTGAGAATTTCACATGTTAATGCTGTAGTTACCATTTTCCCACTCTAACCCCTCTTATGACCCCCAACTCCTCAGATTCAGGGGATGTCCACATGCCAAACACTGAAAATGGAGCTATTTCTATCAAAGTGTACAAAATCAACCCAAATGCATCAAAGAGCTCAATTTGGAACCTGGAATGCTAAAACTACTGTAAGACAATGTAGGCAGAGCCCTGCAGGACATCGGTGGAAACAGACTCTCTCAAAGGAACTCCATTTGCCTAGGAGGTAAGACCAAGGATGACAGATGGGGCCTCACCCAACTAAACATTCCATACAGCAAAGAAAAAAGTCGGTTAAGTGACGAAGAAGCCACGGACTGGAGAATCTGTGACAGCTATTCACCCAGTGAAGGATTAATACCCAGCATATACAAAACTCACAAAACAAGTCAAGAAAATAAATGACCCAATTAAAAACTAAGCCAGCCATCTGAACAGAGAGTTCTCCAAAGAAATAAAAATGTCTAAGAAATATCTCAGAATATGTTCAAGATCCTTAGCAATTAGGAAAACGCAAATTAAAACACTTTGAGATTTCATCTTACCCCAGTAGAATGGCTAAAATCAAGGAAACAGAGCCAAATGGTGGTGGCATGTGCCTTCATTCCCAGCACTCTAGAGGCAGAGGCCTCTCTGTGAGTTCGAGGCCAGCCTTGTCTACAGAGTTTCAGGACAGCCAAAGCTGCTACACAGAGAAACTTTGTCTTGAAAAACAAAACAAAGGAAGGAAGGGAGGGAAGGAAGGAGGGAGGGAGGGAGGGAGGGAAGAAAGGAGGGAGAGAGGGAAGGAAAAACAAGGAAGGAAGGAAGGAAGGAAGGAAGGAAGGAAGGAAGGAAGGAAACAGCTGACAACAAATGTTAGTAAGGATGTAGGGAACGGAGAACTGTAGTTTCCTGTTGGTAGAACTGCAAACTGGTACAGCCACTATGAAAATCAACGTGGAAAATTCTCAAAAAGCTAAAATCAGCTCTATCACATGACTTGGCTGTACCACTCCCCGGCACATGCCCAGGAGGACAAACACTTCACATTCTCTTAGCTACAGATTCTACCTCTACTCTTCAGATATGAGTATATCGTCTGGAGTAACCACGGAAACCAGGGAAGTATTGGGGGAAGAAGCTTTAGAGAGGGGACTACTGGGACAAAGGTGCCACGGAGGGAAAATGGGGATAATAGGCTGGGGGGGGGCAACTCACCTGGGGAGGGATAAGGAAATACAAAGGGAGGGAGGTTAAGTAACACCAAGGATCTGTGACAAAGGCAAAGGAGATAGTGAAAAGTGTGTGTGTGTGTGTGCTGTGTGTGCTATGTGTAGTATGCAGTTTAAGTGAATCCATGCCCCCTTGGTAACATTGCTCTACCCAAAGGCCGTAAACTATGGTTGCTATTTTTGATTGGCAATTTGACACAACCTACAATCACTTCAGAAGAGGATCTAGCAATTCTAGACTGGCTGGCCTGTGGGGACTGTTTTATGTTAACTGATCCTGGACTACGGATCTGAGGAGAGCAGGGGAGCACAAGCAGGCAGACGTTCTCTCTGCTCCCAATATGGGTGTGGCAGGCTGCTTCAAGAGCCTGTCTTGACTCACTTTCAATAGTGGACTGACTAAGAACTGAGCGCTTAAACAACCCCTTTCTCAGCAGAGTTGCTTTCTGTCAGGGACTGTCATCACAGCAACAGAAATAACCCCTCCCACAACAGGCAGACCCATCTTGCTGTGCAAGTAGCAATGGAACTCTGCACCACTGTGAGGGCAGTAGCTGAAGCTGCATGTCCACTGCCGGGAGTCAAAGGCTAACGGGGTCCATGCTGAATCAGGGACTGCTGGAAGCTCTTTGTGAACAAGCACGGCCCTCAGTCCCCTGGGCCAGCATCGGGACAGTCTTGATATCACTAGCTTTAACCCACTCACACTGAGATGCACCAAACACAATGGGCAACCCAATCATTCAGCATTTTCCTAGTGGACTTTTCACCCAGAACAATCTTGACAATCTGTTTTGATTGGTACAGTTTCACCTGCAGGATTCAGTTACTCAAGAACTAAATGCATCAAGACCCTACACTTCTCTGACTTCATGGGAGGAGGTTAGAGTGTGGAGGTTTGAGTGAGGATGACCTCCATAGGCTCTCACATTTGAGTGCTCGGCCACCAGGAAGTGGAACCATCTGAAGGGGCTACAAGGGTCAGGAGGAAAGCCACCTCTCCTTCCACCCCATGCCTCAGCCCGCCCCAAGTTCTCAGTTACAACTCCAGGGACATGCATGTCACCACATTCCCTGAAGCTGTAAGCAAGCCCCCAGTTAAATACTTTCTTTTATAAATGTTGCCTGAGTCGTGGTGTCTCTTCATAGCAGTAGAACACTGACCAAGACATCAAGCTTACCTAAAGCTAAATATTTTTAAAGAAAAGCATTCTTTTGAATAATAGATATGAAACTCATCATTCACAACTACATGGCTATGAGAATATTTTATGCTTAAAACATAGAAGTGTGCACATATTATATCTTAACTCTAGAGTAAAGATTATTTTTTACATTCAGATCCACAGTCATACCTTTTTCTTAACTAAAGAATATTTATATAGCCATGTTTTCAATGAAAATCATAGGCTTTATTACATTACTACAAATAACAGCACTGGAAAGGTCACCATGCTGGTTATTTTTTGTCAACTTGACACAAACTAGAATCACTTGGAAAAGGGGGCACTTAACTGAGTAACTGTCCCCATCAGACTGACTGTAGATGAGCCTGTGGGGCATTTTCTTGATTAGTGATTGATGTGGGAGGACCACCCACTGTAGGCAGTGACACCTGGGCAGGAAGTCCTGGAGTGTATAAGAAAGCAGCTGAGCAAGCCAGTGAGCTATGATCCCCCATGGTCTCACTTCACCCCTTGCCTCCAGGTTCCTGCTGTGACCTCCCTTGGTGATGGACCAAGACCACGAAATACACACCAAATAAACTCTTCCCCAAGTTGCTTTTGATCAGTATTTTATCACAGTGACAGAAAGCAAACTAAACAGGTCCCTAACACACTCAGCTGTGATGTAACAGGTCTCAATGCAGTTATGTGGTGCTGTCCTGGCAGAGCTGGAGGTGCTGATGCAAGCATGAGCATCCTGCATCTCATCCAAACCACTCCCAGCAAGAGCCAGTTTCCAACAAAGAGAAGTGTCTACAGCAAAAAATAAAAACAAATGAGCAGGTCAAGCAGGTCATGAAAAGTGAAGGAAAAATTGAGAAACCTAAGCCCCAAAGACACAAAACAACAGATTTCAGAAAATTAGTTAACAGTTTAAAAACGTGTCGAGTATTTATGATATTCCAGATGCAAGATTAAAAAAAGAAAAAAGTGAGATAGGCATGAGCATTCCCTAGCTCACTATCCAGCTGGAGAGACAGGAAATAGAAAACTAGAGCTGTTTTTAGATTTTAGTATTAGTGATTAAGTAACTCAGTAAACGTGGGTGGCATCATTAATTCTAAAACAGGCGCAAAGAGCAGCCTAGGTTTGAACAAGGTGCTTTCTAACTCGCTCCTCATTCTTTACTTCACTGGTTGCACTAGTTGCCAACACTCAGCCTTCTAGAAGCAGCTTAAGTAAATTCAGAGGCATACTGCATTGTGCGGTCTAGTCACACCCTAGATGACAGCTTTGCTCACACACAGGTTAAATGAATAGGTAACTGAGAAACTGATAGGCAAAGAGTCATATTAACTGAATTGTAAAAGAAAAGCTGCCAAAGGCATATAAATATAAGGAAAACAATCATTGGCTAAAATAATATGCATGACTGTAGTTGCTGACCTTCTTTAGTGTCAAACACCCCAACTGCATCAACCCATCAACCCACCATTACAGAACTTGAAAGGAAGGCAAGCTTGCTCTCATTCCCAACTAAATGGCCCAAGCCCAAGTCACCAAGTATGGGAGACGTTCTTTTTTCTGCAAATCCAGTCTCTGAAGAAACATGTTATTTTCAGACTTTTTTCTTTGCTTATTAGTCAAAGTCACTTTGTGACAAGACTATATAAATGTCAGTACAACTTCTAAATCCTACTCAGTGAGTCTCTCTGTGTGACAGGAAGCAAGTCTTTGAACTTCATGGCTTCTGATGAGGGGGAGAGGCTCAGACACACCTACATTTTATTTCAATAAAATTTAATGTCAATGGAATATTTTTAATATCAGCTAAGACATACACTTTCCAAAGTCCTTTGGTCATGGCAATAAAACTAGCATTTCAAGCGCCCTTTCATACTATCATGTGAACAGTACCAACAAGTGAGCACAGCATGCTCCCTATCTCCTTATACCGTCTCAAAGTCCAGCTCCACCAGTCAGACTACTCACAGTGTTGTTAACAATGTAAAGACTCACAACAAGACATCAAGCAAAGCAGGCAGCACTCACAAGCACAGAGTGTGTGAATCCACATGTCCTCAGCCTTCTCATCATTCAGCAAATACAGAGGGAAACGTGCTGCCAGACTCAGCTGCCAATGCCAGGAATTAACTGAGAGCTGCACACAGTGAGAGCACACAGTGAGAGCCACACACAGTAGGAGCACACAGTAGGAGCCACACACAGTGAGAGCCGCACACAGTGAGAGCCGCACACAGTGAGAGCCGCACACAGTGAGAGTTTCATACTTGTACCTAATAGCTCCCAGCTCACTCTAAGCTGCTGCTGCTGGTGTGTGTGTGTGTGTGTGTGTGTGTGTGTGTGTGTGTGTGTGTGTGTGTGTGTGTGTGTGTTTTCGATTCTGGAAGACTCTCATATCTTCTAGGATGATATAAGAGTCTTCCAGAAAGCTACACTGGTAAACTCTGGGGAAAATGCAAAAGGGAAATGTTAATTCTTACAACTACATGTGGATTAACAAAGATCTCAATTAAAAAGTACATTGTAAGTCACTAACCAGGACACAGAGCAATTTTCATAGACTGTCATAAAATAGAGGCTGGGTTCCAAGGACCAGCCAACTGTTGACTGTTTAACTGTATAACCCCTTGGTGCTGTATGTAAAGCCACAGGGCCCAGGCTCCACCTCCTCACTACTCTCCCTGCCAACTACTCCCAACTCTCCCATTTCTCACTTAATCACAGATTTGCTTTCATCTTCTCTTGATATGGAAGCCCCATGTGGCTTCCCTGGAAGAAGTCCAAACCCTTCCTATGACAAAACCAGCTTCTCAAGACACATGTATATATACTTTCCAGGCTTGGACATGCCATCATCTCAGCTCTGTTCCTGACTCAGCTAGCTGGTTCCCACTTGGTCCCAGAATGGTTTCCATGGTAGTTCAGCCCTTCTCAGAGGAAGATACCTCTTCTTCAAGGTTTCTGCAGTGGTCTAGCCCTTCTTCTTGTGCCTGTTAATCCTGTTCAGTTAGTTTCTGCCATGAATTGGTGGACCTGAGACTCATAGGCTTGACACACTGGATGGGGTTATCCATCATTTCCCCTAATGCTCTCCGGGCTGCCACACTTAGGCTCTAGCATTGGGAAGCACTTGGATGTTTGTTAAAAAAAAAAAAAAAAAAATACAAAAAAACTGGTGACTTTCAAATGAGCTTATGTGACTCCTGAGCCTATTATTCTGTGGTAAAATGTGTCTGTGGCAGAAATCAGTGCATCATTTGGAAAAAAACAACAGTTATTTTATGAGATGCTAAATCTTTAATGCACAAAAAAATCACTGGAGGGGAGTTAGTTGGGAAATGAGATATAGGATATATGGAAAGAAACAAGAAAATTGATTCACATCAGTCTCTGCTCAACAGAAGCTATTCTCAAGCCTGAGCTACAGTCATTAGCAGAGGGAGGAAGGGAAGGAAATGGCAGGCTCTGGACCCATCTGGACTGCAAACTGCAATCGCATACAACCACAGACAGATATGTTACTATACACCCACCTGAAGCTACATTAACTAGAAATGATGGGTCATAGAATAATCGGCTCTCATCTGCCTAAGAAAATAAGTGAGGGAAGACAGGAATGTACAAGCCTGAATACTCAGAAAGTTTCTGGAATTTCTAGAATAACTTCTGCAAGCCCTTGGAGACCAGAAGTAAGACTCTATGGCATCAAGATGATCTTACTGAATGCTTCTTTGTCTTTGTGAATGCTTACTATGGCATATAAAGTATGTATTTTTAAAAACATTCTATCTTTAACAAGACTGTTTCAGAATCTTAGCATGCCTCTCATTCCTCCAGCAGCCCATGAAGGAGCAGGTCCCAGTCGGCAGCAGGCGCAGGTACAGCCCTCCCACACTACTCAGACCCCAGTGACGTTAGGCCCTGTGATAGAAGAGATGGCTATCCCTGACAGCCCACAGGACGGAGAAACCCAGGGGCTATGTGAAGACATGAGAAGAATGCAAACCCAGGTTAAAGCCTATTCAGCCCTGGCAGTCCACTGGAATGTCACTGAAAGAAATGACGATGGCCAATCACAACAGAGAGAATGGGAGGAAATCAATGCAAAACTCAACTGCAGGAGCTATGAGTAACTAAACTACTGCAGTGCTGAGACCGCAGGGCGAACTAAAGGCATTCACTAACACCAACACGAAAGGTCAATGGGGGCAAGACAAGCATCACGTGAAGAGCCAATGGCAGGCACAAATCGTCATGACCATCAGTCTCAAGGACAGACTAAAGAGACCCAAGAATTTCTGAACACAGAGCATTCTCCTCTGCAGCATTTCATAGGATGCTGCTAGAGACCCTGTTTCTGCAGGGTGGGAAGATGTCCAAGAAGCTGGGGGACCCAGGAAAGAACTAAATCATGAAGGCAGGGACTCTGAACAGCTAGTCCACAGGAAGAGGGGCCCAGGGACCTCTATTAAACATGGTAAAAGACACAGTCTCTGATTTGATTTATATGGACATTTAAAAACAAAACAAACAAAAGTACTACCGGCACACATGAGCTAGATAGACCCACAGGAAATATGGACATCAAGGGCCCCTGGCAGTGGCATCAGGACCTATCCCGAGTGCACGAACTGGCTTTTTGGAGCCCATTCCCTATGGTGGGATACCTTCTCAGCCTTGATACAGGGGGGGGGGAGGGTCTTGGTCCTGCCTCAACTTGGTATGACACACTTTGTTGACTCCCCAAGGAAGGCCTTATCCCCTCTGAGGTATGGACAGCTGGGTTGGGAGACAATGGGGTTAGTAGGTAAAATTAAAAAAATAATAATGCCAAAAATAAAGAAATCAGTGCATTAGGTACAAACAGAAAGCATCAAAGAGGAGTGGGGCGGGAATGCTGTTTACACTATAATTCTCTGGAAACTGGTTTTTAAAAACAATAAATAGCACAAATGATTTCTATTTTAACATTATTATTACTAAGTAATTATACTAACATGACATAAAGCAGAATTGCCAGGCTTGATGACAGAAGACAGACTGGAGATATAGCACTTACCTAGGACATGTGGGACCCTCAATCTGAGCCCCACTAGAAGCCACAAAATGAACAAACCCAGAGAAGAGGCCAGAAGCCACTAGAGAACTATTTCCTGCTAACTCCACTAACGTTTTAAACACCAAGAAGGCGCAGTCCTATCTCCTGAGGAAAAATTCCACCTCAGAACTGACTCTTCATTCAAAGAAGATACAGTGCAGGGATGTGTACTGACAGACAGACAGCCCTGCGCCTCACACCACAGAACTGTGCAGTAACCTTTCAGCAGGTGTCACTCACTGCCATCTCTTCATGGCCCACTCCTTCCAGCTGCCTAGAATTCAAGTGGACCGACTACCCCCAAACTGCGAGAGCAGGAATAAAAATGCACCTTCTGTAAACACATCAGTAACTTTTAAAGACTTACTTATTTTACTTTATGATGTTTAGACTACATGGATGTGTATTAAAGGGTAGCAGCACTAGGAAGCTTGAGAACCACTGCTCTTGGAAGAAACCTTATTCTCTAGAAACAATTATAAATATATATTTGTAAATTACCACTAGAAAATAAAAGCTACTTAAGACCACAATGGAAGAAATAGTTTATACATGAGAAGTAAAAGAGAGCCTGGAATAAAATGCAACAGAAAAAAAAAAAGAAAAAGAAAAAACAAAAACAAAACAAAACACAAATGCACTTAAATAGCCTAAGTAAAAATAAACACAGGAAACACTAGCTGGACACTGGTACAGACCGACCTCAAGTTACCTGCCAGGTAGAGGGCGAAGGATATAAACCTGTGGTAGCGAATGAGGAACTGCAGCTGCTCCTCCCTCTGAACAAATGTAGCAAAATAGTCCGCCACTGTCTCTCCGTAGAAGAAATAGTTCACACAAAGTAGAAAGTACCTGCAATTTAAACCCATTAGCTTGGTCTGAATGTTGTTTTCCCCCTCAAATGTTACAGAATTATTCTTTGCATTTTGATGGTAATACTAAGATCAAAATCAAATTTGGGTGGTTAATTCCAAATACTCTCCACCAAAATGCTGTTTTCTCATTTTAAACTTAATTCCAATCCTATCAGCCAACAGCAACCAGCAATGCACCAAAGATAATTCATGTATTTAACTCAAAATATAGTATCAGAGACAACAATGTCAAAATACAGCAGACAGATACACACACACCATGAACACACATACACGGTGAATTTATAATGAACAGACAGATACACACGCCGTGAACATATAAACACACAGTATTGAGTTTATAATGAATGGACAGATGCACAAACATCCGTGGGCACACACATACACACAGTGCTGAGTTTATAATAAAAATTAACTCCTGGATGCTCAATGTTCTCATGTTGGAGGACACAACCCCATCTACTAAGCAAGTTAAGAGGGACAGGAGAAAGAGGTGGCCGAGAATCTTCCCCTCCTGCCCTGTTCTGATGTCTTTCCCAGTTCTTCTCAATGCCTAGAAGGGCTCCAAGTTAGTGACTCTTATTTTGATTTAGTGTATGTGCTCACACGTGCATGCATGTGTGCAAGCCCATGTGTGTTTCCCATATTAGGTATATGTATTTCCTGTATGTATATTTCATTGGCGTGTCTGTGTTTCCCATGTATTTTAAGAGAAATGGAGAAAACTGCTAAGAGAAAATTACCTCTTGTCAATATCAACACCTACCCCATACTTTCCCCATCTCCAGGATCTTACTATATATCTCAGGCTGGTTGACCTCTCAGGCTGGCCTTGACCTCACGGTCCTCCTGCCACAAACAATTGGTAATTGAGCAAGTTGCTGTGGTTTGGATCCCAGAACTAGGGTTGGAGGCATGAGTCATCATACTCAGGTAGGAAGTACATAGAATATTTAAGTCCAAAAGTGAGACACAGCCATCTTAGGAAGACAACAGCTTCCTGGAGGATGTTAATGGAATAACATCCTTAAAGGCATGACCATGTAGGCTGACTAGGATCTCTATTATAGCACCATGTTTCCTACTCAGGGTCTTAAAAGGGATGAGTGCCTGAAATGTTTCAAAAATACATGAAGCCAAAGTTTACACATATATGTACATATCAAATATTTTATAATCCCTTGTCAACTGGGAACAAAGTTAAGAAAGCTGTTTATAAAATTATGATCAGAGAGGGTAATCATTAATTAGGTGTTATTATAAAGACTGAAGTGCAAGCGTGAGGAAGGTTGTATGGAGGAGGAAGAGCAAAGGTTATTTTCTTCTTTACAAATTCAGTTACAGTGTGTTCCTCTTCCTCCAAACCCATCCTACAATTACAAACTTCAGAAGTGAATCAGATTTGCATATCTAGAGCAATTTCACGGGCACTCACCAACTCAGTGTTCTAAACCACGGGAGGTCATAGGAGTGATAGACTCTGTATCCAATGGTGATAATCTCATGGAAGCATTTCACTTGGATGCCCAGAACCTAAAAGTAAAACAATGAGGTCATGTGATCTGTCCTGTGTAACTTACAAGCAACATCTAGCCATGTGTGTTTTAGAAAATCTTAATCTACCAATTTGTGATTATTCTAAATGGCAATAGCAAAGAGGCAGTACTCACTCCCTCTACAGAAACGACGCCTGTTTACATGAAGGCCTGAGATCTTCCCAGGAGAAGCCAGGCATAGCCAATCCTTGGGCAGTTGGGTGGGCCTTATCCATTTATTTTTATTATTTATAACCATGTATCCACCATTTCTCAAGATGGATAATCTTTTCTGAGACAGGGCCTCACACAATAGGGCAGACTGGCCTCAGCCTCCTGTGTGGCAATTGCAGGTGTGGCATGCCCAGGTCCCATTTTCCCATCTCTTAGGTTCCGATGGGAAAAGGCTGGCTTAGAGAAGTGTGAGTGTCTCCAGGAGTCTTTAACCACAAGTTGAGCACACTTATACATTGTAGCATGGACCTTTAGTCTTAAGCATACAGGAGGCAGAGGCACTGTGAGGTCAGTGGTCTCCTGGTTGCTACACAGTGAGTTCCAGGCCAGCCATAGCCAAACAGTGAAACCATACAAAAAAAAAAAAAAAAAAAAAAAAAGGAAAAGATGATGTCCAGGACAAATAATTACAGCAGCATCTCCCTCCCACTTTACCTTCCCACAACTGAGCAGACTGTCCTACAGCCATCAATAGCTCTGGTCAGTGTGAACACAGTCATCATCAGCCTTCTAGACATGGCCACACTGCCTAGACAATAGAGTTGTAGTTTTGTATGCAAGGTGTGCTTGTATCCATGAGTTGATGTTCTGCTCATAGCCCTTCCCAGGGATAAACCCATGGATCTAAGTGAAGTGCAACATCTTACTTAAACGTGGCCGATTCCAAGACTCAAACAGCACACACAACGAATCCTCTGAGTCAGAAGGGACAGTCTTTATGAACACAATAGATTATTTTCCTTCCTCTAAACAGCACGCCCAAGGGCTTGAGATTTTATAATCTTGTACAAAAATAAGACTTTTATAAGCTTAAGGAGTTTAAAAATCAAAGATTATAACGGATCAATTTCCAGCTTAGAATCTAAAATACTGCTATTTGGTTTTTCGTTGAAAAACGTTTCAAAACTCATGTTTGAAGGTGTATTTTTCTTTTTCTTTTTTTTTAAACATTTCTTATGGTTTGGGGAAATGAGTCAGTGAATACCGTGACACACTGCACAAGCAAGAAGTTCAAACCCTAGCACTCAGGAAAGGGTTGGGGCAGACACAGACACATCCCAGGGCTCACGGCCAGACAGCTGCCAGAGTGTCAAGCTCTAGGCTTAATGAGAGGTCCTGCCTCAAAAGAGACAGACACTCAACAGCACACAGGAAAGTGCACACACACAAGTGCACAGGCATGCAAGCACACACAAATATACACATGAGAGAGAGGGAGAGGGAGGAAGGGAAGGAGAGAGAGAGAGAAAGGGAGAGAGAGAGATTAGCCTTCTCAAACCAGCCATTCAGGATATTTTAAGCTACTCTGCCACCAAATATTTATTATATGTCAACCATGGACTATAAAAAAGTAAATGTTCCCCTTAGACATATAATAAAGAAGTATTATACCAAAGTACAAGAAAGTATTGGTAGCAAAAGTCATTAGTGTTATAAAAACAAAGGATATATAAAGGTCACTCTTCAAATAATCTTTGTGTAAATATAAAATAAAATGGTATTTTCACAAAAATAATCACAGAATGGGGACAAAGTTCAGTGTTAAGACAAAATGGCAAACCACACATTTACAGAACAAAGGGCTTTTAAAATATCAAATGCAGTGCGGCAATCTCTATGAACACAGCCACTCAGCACTTTACCCCATTCTACTGAGAGGAGAGAAGGGGGCTTTATTTAACAGTTATCTATGCTATCTGTGTGATTACCTTACAACTCGAAAGGAGAACACAGAATGTCTCAGAAAACCAAAAATAAGGAATTCTAAACATTATAGTTAAAAATCTTTAGAATGTATTTATATTATTATTAAGGACTGGGAGATTTCATTGATATTGATACGTCATGCCACTGATACTGGTAGCAGTAAACACTGGCTGAATTAATGTGTAAAAGCCTTAAAAGCAAGAGTCAGTTCTTTAGCGGCCCACTTCACTAATCACTGAGGGAAGGGGGGGCGGGAGGAATGGAGGGAGGGAGAGCAGTCTGTGAAGAAGCATGTAACTCTAATGCCATGTGGAAATAACCACACACACCTGTGGTGGGAGATGGACGGGCAGCGACACCACCAAAGAACACGAACAGGCAGTCACAGCTGCAGATGACTGGGGCACGTTAGGCTGTGTGTTAAGTCCTTCAGAGCAGTCAGAATACATGGGTGTGGGAGCGGACAGAGAGCTGAGCCAGTGGTGCACGGTAGGAGAGGGATGACAGGAGAAGATGTGACTATTTGGGTCAATGGGGGATACTAAGCATTAACTGGGGAGGTGGCCAAAGCAGACAGTAGTTCAGGCTGGATGACATGACGGAACCAGCAGAGTGTCACAGGGCACTTGAGAGACTAGATTCAGCGAAGATGGAAACTAGGAATGTGTTATCTGCAAAAACAACATCAAAGGTTTTAATTCAGAGTTTTGTGGGTCTGTGATGATGCAGAAGAACATTGAGATGGGGGCAGGGGGCCTAGAGGAAGGAGGCCAGGAGGCCCAGAGTGGGACAAGAGACAAGGACAAGATACAGCCCCAACACGATGCCCTGAGTTCCCCCCCCCAGGTGTCCCATCTGTGCAAGTTCCACACATCCTGATAAGTCCAGCAGATGGAATCCCTGGTGAGGTCAGACCCCTGGCCATCTAATCACACTCAATGATTAGAATCAGGTGGGAACCAATCCTTCGACTTAGGAGCCTTTTTAGGGGACATTAAACCATAAAAGAAGGGAAGGAGGGAATGTTGAGCAGCAAAGAGAGCCTGGAATAACAACAGGCTTATGCAGGACAGCTGGGAGACAGAACATGGCATTTGGCCATGTTGAGTGTCAGCTATGGGTTATGCAAATAAAAATGCCTATATTCACTTTAGGGATCTAGTTTAAGAAAACAATTTGATTTATGAAATCAGAACTTATTTGTGCTCCAGCATGTTCAAAATCAAAGACTTCTTATTAAAGAAACAGAACATAATCTGAATGTTTAAAAATGGTGATTTAAATAACACAATGCTTCAAATTCCATTGGATAGCAGGAAAGGTAAAGAAATCCTAAGTACTTTAGGCAGGCTGTGATTCTCTTTTAAAACTCAGGTTCCAACTGAGCATAGTGCACACAGCTGTAATCCCAGCACCGTAGAGGCTGAAGTTTGAGGCCAGCCTGGCCTACATAAAAAGTTCAAGGCTGGGTGGATAATACAGCGGGGTGAACGCCTCTAAAACCGTTCTCAATCCTTCTTTGGAGCATCAGCCCATGACATGAGCTGATGACATTTTTTATTGTGACTAAGTTTATTTTTAAGTGTTTTTTAATAAGAGGAAAAGCCACACCATGTTGCTGACAATTGTATCCACTCTCAACAGGACACAGGAAGGAGTGGAAGACAGTAAGATGGGTAGACACATCCACATTCTCTGGTAGGCAGGAGACGGAGGTGAACACGGGAGAGGCTGAATGGGCTGAGGTGAGATGACGAAAGCAACAGAGTAAAAGGGAGAGTCCGGCACAGCCGCCTGGTACACAAGTGTGCCCTGGCAGAGCAGGTGCCTGGTGGGAGTGGTAGTGACTGCCAGGGGAGTGAGCAGTTTTATCTAGAGAGCTTGTCACCTTCTCAACACATAACAGTAATGAAGGACACTGTGTGTGCCCCCAGGAATGGTTGTCACCATTCATTGCTAAGCCAATACCTGGAAACAGCTGCTAAATCTGTTGAAGGAATGGATTTCTCCTGGCTCCCACACCTCCACTCAACTCCTCCCTCCACCTGACTCCTATTCAACCTTGAGATGGAAGCTCACACGCATTGCACAATGCTTCCAGAAGGTTTGCCAACTCCTTTTCTGCTCTCACAGTACTAATCTTTATTTCAAAGGCTACAGTTTGTAATTAGAAGCAGCAAAGCAGTTCTTTACAGCATAAATAGCAAGCATCATCAAAACAAAGATGGGGATGTGTTCTAAGGCATCACCATTAACATACCCCAGTGCTACTGTAATCTCTGGTACATGCCAGTCACCTTGAAGTAAGAGCTTAGTTTGTCTGTTTGCCCTCATGACTTGGCTTCCCATACATAATGTCTAACTCTCCCAGAATGATGTCTACTCAGCTCTTCAGTCTCATCCCTAGGTCAACTCAGATCCTATATAGGAAGTCCCACCTTCTCTCATTGACCCCTGCCTTGATTGACACTGGGGTATCCAGCTTGAAATCCACCTTGCTTTCTCTGTGGAATCTTCAGGATCAAGCTTAGGCACTGACTTTCTGTAAGCCTTTTGTTTTCCCTGTTTCAGACCAGGTGGCATGCCTCTCTACCCTTGTGCTTAAAACATTGCCTGTCATGAAGACTTACCACTATTTAGTCCTCTGACTGTTTCTGCTGTCATACTAAGTTCCTTGAAGATAGGGATCAAGTCAGATATAAACAGATGGAAGTGTTACATGCAGTTCTGCCACACTTAATGCTCTGCAAGGCACTGGATACACAGATGCCCAGTATTAACACACACACACACTTGGTCCATGCTGCAGAAGAACTGTGCAGGTGGTAAAGATTGGTCTAGGTCATTTCATGAACTAGAAATTGCTTCAAGAAACTGAGTTTGCAGTTGCCAAGTCCTGAGTTACCTTTTATTATCATACACACACATTATTTCAATGACACGTATGAGGCTGGGGAACCAGGGCGGCCAAGAAAGTGTCAATCACGTACCAGAAGCATAAGCATGAAGGACCCCATGTAGATGATCAGGAAGAAGAGAGAGATCATGGTCAGGGTGAGAATCCCTCGGATCCACCAGTTCTTCCACCTGCAAAGAAAGTATTAACCACTTCAGCATTAACAACATCAGCATTAGTAAATAACATCAGCATTAATAGTGTTAGTATTAATAATGCCATTTTCAAGTTCTGCTATGAGTGGTTTCAGTACTGAATTCCCAGAGTTGGGAAGTTTTCCTACCTGTGCTTTAAGAAGATCTTATTTCATTTTATGTAATAAGAGCAACAGTTGAGACTTTACATCATGTCAGCTAAAGAAAGAATGTGAGAAGTCGTGAGGGCGGGGAGTGAGGCAGTCGGCCTGGCTGTGGGAGCGGGGCGGGATGTGCCAACAGGGATTTTGTGAGGACCAGGAGGCTGGAGTCTTGGGAAAGAAGACTTGGGGTTTTAGAGTAGACGATAAAAAATATGCCTCATTTAAGATGGTGGCACTGACAGGACAGCTGCCATACGGAAACTCAGGGTTTGTTTCTGAGGGCAGAGCATCCCAGCTGCCACCAAGGGCTGACTCCTGCTATGCTGGGGACAGATCTCCCTGACCTCTCTGCTTTGGGGCCAATGTGCCCAGCAATATACTCTGGGGTGGTCCTTGTGTTTATTTGACCATGCCATGAGTTACAACGCTGGCAGACACTATACAAAAAAAAAAAAAAAAAAGACAGATTCTAGTACATGGGCTGTCACTTGTCAGTCATGATAGAACCCGTAAGGCTGGGTTCAGTGTCACATCCCTTGGGATGCAATGATGGGAAAAGCACTTAAACCCAGGACTATGAGGCCAGCCTGTGCAGCACCAAGGTCCTGCTGCACAGACTCTGAAAGCAACTGTATATGGGGAATCCTGGGTCCAAACCCACTGCTGTTTTCCTTTAAGATATTAGAAATTTTCATCACACATGCTTTAGGACCCACAAAGTTGAAGGCTCCCAGGGATTCCAACCTCTTCTCCTATGTCCCCCTGAGTCAACACATCCTCCGAGAATTTCACTAGCAATCTTCATAAAAACCCAAGGCCCTCAGTGACATGTGCTGGATTCGTATTGTAAGAATTCTAAGAGTATTTGAATACTGAGATTATTCTTCACACACTGATTCCTCCTTTATCTCACTGTTGAGGGACATGGCAACAAAATATAAATGCATCTTGTATAGAGTATTTGCTCAGCAAATATTTGATGAGATACTGAGCCAACCAACAGTTTAATAAAAGTATAAAGCATAAAGGTAAAAAAGATTCTCAGGGCCAGCAGGGGTTCAGCAGAGAAAGGGGCTTGCTGTGCAGGGCTGGTGAAGGTGAAACTCGGAACAGAGTTGAGAAAGTTACCCTCTGACCTCCACACACCAGTGCTGTGGTTGGTGGATATATGTGCACATACACAATAAGTTTTAAAAAATTTAAAAACATTTTCACTAGTTGTCACTACAAACAATATATCTGACAAAAAGCAAATGGGGAGGGGCGTGGCCACAGGCAATAATTAGGAAGCAGAATGCCAGTGCCCTACAGCCCTCTTCCCTTTCCTCTTTTCATTCAGTGCAGAGCTCCAGCCAAAGGGACCGAGCTGCCCATGCTCAGGGTGGGTCTCCCTGCTCTGCCATGCCGCCTGTAACCACCATTGCAGACACACACCAGTGTAGCTAATTAATGCTGAGTGTTTGTCAATCAAACCAAATGGACAAAGTTAACCATCATGTGAGGCTTTTATTAGCTACAGCATAACATTTAGTTTGTATCACAATATATTTTGGTTCAATTTAGTCTAGTTCATGCATTTTATTCGAGGCACAGGTCCTTCCCTATTTTCCAACAGAACTCATAGCTGATGTCATCTCCTTATAAAATACTGACTATAATTCTTACTTTCAACCATCCTTCTACATTATGTGGCTGATTTTATTTTTTGTACACATAAGTATGTAAGTGTGCCAGTGTATGGTGCTGGGGCTCACACACAGAAGACCCATGCATACTAGACAGGCACTTCACCTCTAAGCCACACCCTCAACCCCCACCCTGCATAGTTTAGACACATCTTTGTCGAATCATTCTTTAAGGCCATCTCTGTACTCAAGGAGTCTCAAAGTCAACATCATTAAAACCAAACAGCTTTTTGCTAGTTTCCCAGGTTTTCCTCAAGGTACTCAAAATAAATTTCTCTACCCTATTTCCTTCCACTGTGTAGTAAAATATGTACAATCATTAGTCTTTGAACTTCAGGCCTGAACTAAAAATCAGTGTACAGTCAGAAAATACAACTGGCAGGTTCTGTTTAGTTTTTGAAGACATAACTCTCTGCAGATTAATGAGTGGATTAGGGAACTGGGCTAAGTCACAAAGCCAGGCAGAGGTGAATACAGGTCCTTAAAGCAGCCTATGATGATAATCCTCTCCTGTCTGCACGAAACTGTAATCATATTGAGCCTTCCCTATAGGTACCAGAAGCCGGGCCCTAGATGGAAGCTTCCAGCATTTACATGCCGTCCATGTCTAGTCTGAGCAGGAAACAACAGCAGCTGAGAACCAGAAACACTAAGAAGACATGTACTCTCTTCTCATTGTCTCATAAGTACAGTCCCCGCATCACATTCTGAACCCTGAAGAAGCACACTCAATTTAGCCACTTCTAAGAAAGAGAAAACTTTTACTGGCATCCAAATTAATGGGTATCACTATGCTATACTGCTGTTTATGCATATATATTATACTTAATTTTTATCTGTCCTCTCGAGAGCCCTTTGCACTCCCCCCCACAACAGGCTGGTCACCTCCCCCCAAAATATTCCTTGTCCCTTTCATATCACATGTACCCTACTAGTCCTCCTGTTCCACTATCCAATTCCCTTGACACCACCTCCTCATCTTTCATGGTCTCCCTATGGGTACACACACATACAGAGACATTCACATACACACAACCACTCTGACACACACAAACTTAAAGCCGGATTCCACATTATTCTGAATCTGGCTAATTTCACATAATGCAATGATCTCTGGTTCCATCCATTTTCCTGCAAATATTACAATTTTATTCTTTGCAGCTATATAAAATTCTCAGTGAGTGTGCACCACATCTTCCTGATCACTTATCTGTCGATGACATCCATATCATGCCTACTGTGGACAGTGGGGCAGTAGCATCCATGTGGACCCATCTGTGTCCTAGAAGCATATCCCAGAGGTGAGAGAGCTGGGTCAGCCACATGGTAGTTCTTTTCAAAAGGTTTTTATTATATTCTAATCATGTCTCTTCTGCAGCACTGGCTCAGGGGTCATGAACTGCCTTAGTTCTGAACTGTTCTTGTGTCTCCATCATTTAAAAGGTGCTTTGCTGGGAACAGCAATCTTGGTTGACAGTTACTTACTTTTGGGTTTTGGAATATACCCTTTAGGTGAATGATGGGACCTAATATTTTCGTATGTTTAACTTTTCCAAGCTGTTTTTCCTCTACAATTTTTAGCATTTAAAAATATTTTTTGATATTTTGACTAGACTATGCCATAGAGAAGTTCTTCTCTTCGTCTGCTTCTTCCAGATAAGGGGTTTTCTGTTGAAATTTTATTGAATATTTTTCTCTCCTGTGTTGACCTTGGTTCCTTCTTCTATCACGTGTATTCTTAGGTCTCATTTCTGTGTGGAACCCAGAGGTCGTGGACATTGTGCCCATGGTATTTATTTTCTTTTCTTTACTGGTGTTTGGCCCTGCCCTCTCTATCCCTGACGTTCTTTCTTGTTTGGCTAAGCCTATTGGCCATGCTTTTCCACTGTTTTTATTGGCTTCACTGAGTTCTTCATTTCTAAAATTTAATTTCTTCCCACCCCAATGACCTCATTTTCTCTGCTGACTCGTCCCTCTGTTGCTTTCTTTTCCGTGTCCTAGACAGACTCACAGACTCATCTATTTATATCTTCAGGATCTTCAGGTTCAGTAGCTGAGGAGCTACGATCTTTTGCAGAAGCCACAGTGTCACAGCTTGTACATCTGTTGGTTTGGACATATTCTTATTGCACAGTCTTCTCTTAGGGGCTCATTCACCAGCATCATGAAGTGAGGACAAAACAATGTACCCGGTGAGTCTCCGGCTTCCCCTCCCATGAGCCGTGTGCACAGTTGTGTGCAGCCCATCCCCCTTCTATGCCTCCTTCCTCTCCAGGTATCCTCACGACCACTGCATGAACTGCCAGTGCTTCCTCTGTAAAACAGTATGTTTTTCTTCTCTTCCTCTCTCCTTCCTGGGAAACAGTGGGAGCCCCCAGTCTCAGCCACATTTTATTGAATTTAATCTCCAGACTTTCCAAAACTACAAAGTTAGAAGACAAATATTTGCCCGTGCTGTGATTGTCGAGCGGCACTGGGTCTTTAGTCCTCTTTCTGCTAGTGTAACATGACACCTGAAGCTGGTTCATTTATGAGGAACAGAGATTTACTTCTTACAGTCCTGGAGGCTGGGAGTCCAGGGCCAGGGTGTGGCCCTGCACCTGGGGGTGCAGCTGTTTCATCCTACGGTAGAGGCCAAGGGCAAGCCACCAAGAAAAGTCACTTTCATAACAAGCGTACCTGTGTGATAACTGCACCCACTCCCACGTATGTCAGTGGCATGCACCTACTCACAGGGGCTCCTCTCAGCCCTGCTTCCCCCGAGGCTGCGCTTCCACATGTGAATTCTGAGAAACACTTGAAACCACACCCTCCCACAATCAAACACCGCCTTTCAGAGTTGAAGTACTCAGTTAAAACACAGCACACAACAGAGAGCAGGAAATCACTTCTGCTACAACCGAGTGGATGGTGTACACCGGGTTCCTTAGCAATCATCTACTTCAGTGGTAGAGTAGCATGGCACACCTGAGGCCCTGTTTCAATCCCCAGGACAGCCAAAAATAAAAGCAATCATTTTAAGTGGTTACACACTGACCAAATCAGTCAGGCTGTGAATATAACCAGTAAATCAGTTTTGTTCAAAAGTTAATGACATGTTTTAATTATTTTCCTAGAGTCACAAGCATTATGAGTCATTGAGAACTTGCATGGTCATGCAGCTTACTGAAGTCAAGGGTGAGGGCCCGGAGGCAGACTGAAGAGCAGGCAGGATCTGTCATCTGATGGGGAGCAGGGGTTTAGAGAAAGTCCATCTACCAGCCTGGAGCAGAGGTGGACAGGAAGTGTGTGGGTTCTCAGAGAACGGCAATACAAAGTCCAGGAGCACCAGCAGGCCTCCCTGGAGCTTTCAGGTTTCTGTGGCATTAGCAGCACCCTGGAGCAGACCACTCTGTCATGACAGCCTCCCTCCCACACTTAGCTGTCCAGGTCTGCTCTCCACCCACAGCTGTCATCAGCAGCTACTGTGCTGATACTGCCACATGTCCCCAGAAGACACTGAGACATGAAGCTTACCTACCTGCAAACACCCCTCGGAACACACTCACCTACCTGGCTAATGATCCCACCCCTCGGAGCACACTCACCTACCTGATGGACACACTCCTTATAGCACACTTGGATGGGGTAATGTCTGATGGACACCCCTTGGAGCACACTCACCTCTTCAAACTCAAGTCTCTACAATAAGTCTATTACAATAAAAGAAGGCTTCAAACTATATGTTGTACAGAAACAGCCATGTACTCTATACAGAGTAATTACCTGAGATTAAACTGTTAGACCAGCTACTGTTCTGGTTTTCATAACATCTCTCATCAACGGTGTTATACAATCTATGTTTCTGGTTTTGAGAACTACTCCCTCATTACACTGTGTAGGTAAGGACAAGGCCTGGGCTCATATTATCTCTCTACGCCTCGGGTTCTTCATTTACAAAACAGTCCCAAGCAAAACCGTAAGAATGTATTAGTGATTGTTTCATTGCTGAGAGTGGTGCATAGCACAGTGCATGCTCAGTAAATAGCTGCTAGCTAGCGCTTGCTATTGTTGCTTCATAATACAAGGTCATTCCCGAGGAGGGGTCTGACTGACACCTGGGAATTCAGCATCATTATTACAGAGCACTGGACTAATGCACACACATGTGTATGCATTTATACAACTCACATGTATGCACACACACACACACACACAATGAAACAGATCTGATTTTTAATGCAAAGCTGTATCTGTGAACTAGGTCACAGAAATGACTGGGAACAGGAACTATTAAAATCAGAATCATGCTTTCGATAAGATAGCTTATCTTTGTTCCATCAGCTTAAAAATAAAACAACAGGAAAACATTGCTTTATAAAATAATTTATTTTAATATGTTTATGATACTGTGACAGATTTTTCCATTTTCAACCATAATTCCAGGCTTACCTCCAAAAATATGTATTTTCTCAAAGACTAGATTAATGCTGGGCCAGGGGAGGCCTCAGAAGCAGACTTCAAAAAGCAAACTCTTCCTCACTGCCTTCGCCTGCTCTCCTTTCATGCAGTCCTTTTTGTCTCTCTAAGGCAGGCCACGGACACTCGACTTTTTCTTCTCTTAGGTAGGCCACAGAAACTAAAAGTATACTCAAATTTTCCTTTAGCCTCCTGTCCTAAAGCTGGCCATACAGAAATACTCTACTCCATCTTGCCAGGAAGGGGACCAGAAGACCCCCATTTGAGAAAATCCCTATGGTATCCCAGGAGGAAGGGGCACTGTCTGAAGAGACAGCCACACTGGGTTTCCTAGCTCAGCATCCCAGCATCAGATCTGACCTGTTTATCTGCTCACAGTCCTGTCATGAAGCCTTCTGAATCTCCAAAGATGAGGCACAAAGGATTTTGGAAGGTGAAAACAGTAGACCAGAAAGGGAACAAGAATTCATCCACATCCCAGGAGGAAGGTGACTACAACTCCACAGGGACATAATCTAACACTTGGGACATTGCAGACCTCACTCTGTATCTCATTGACTGTTTTGTCAGAAGTCCATTAAGATACTTTATAATAAACCAGCAATGTGATCATTTCCTCAAGGCCTGTAGGCTGCTCTGAACTCAGCCTAATGAGAGGGTTGACAGGAACCCAATCGGTGTTTAGTCAGAATTCTGAAGGCCTCGACTTGTGATTGTGTTTGAAGCAAGAAGTCATGGGCCTGAGCCCCTGGCACCTTTGCTGTCTCCAGAAGACAGTGTCAAAGCAGACAGTGTAAGGGAAAAGGGCCAAGTAAAGAAACACACCCTGAGCAGAGCCAAAGAAACACACTTTGGCCCTGAAACCAGAACCAAAGAAATGCACCCTGACCCTGACACCAGTGCCAAAGAAACACATTTTGCCCCTGGTCCTAAAGTTAGAGCCAAAAGGCTAAAAAGGACCAGTGAAAGAAACATACTTTAGCCCTGAAACCAGAGCCAAACCTGACCCTAAACCTGTGCAGAAAACCAACCAATCCCTGAGCATGAGATCTAGGCAGTCTGGACTCAGGGATTGAAATCTGACCAATCCTCACCCTGGAAATCTTCCTAGGAAAACTCTACCCCCTAAGAAGCCCTATAAAACCCTGTGTCTGTTCAGCTTGTGGCTGTTCAGGCTGCCTGGCTGCCCTCTGCCAGGGTGGCAGAGGACAGCTACTCTCCTGGATTCTTCCCCCCTACAATAAATCTCTTGAATGAGGTTTGGGTGAAGTTGCTACTCTGCACCCTCCTGTGGGACTGGAGCCATCCTGCCAGGATACAGCTGACACACTGGAGAAGCCTTCCCTGAAGCAGTTTGTAAGCTGCTAAGCTTACTGTAACTGTGGTATTCCTTGGCTCCCAGGTGCCAGAATATCTTTCCATCTGAGCTGTAACACTCAATATTCTGCCAGAGTCCCTGTCCATCCCATCTGAGCTATCAAAGTGCTTACAGTCATCCAGTGGGTGATCTCCATAGAGATGCAATCTTGCCCTCTCCCTCTGCATCTGGACTCCAGGCTGCAGAAACACATAGAGGCAGCTGACCTGTACAAGGAGCAGCTAATGGGCCCCCAGACTGATAGCTGGGAAGCCAGCATGGGACTGACTCAGGTCCCACAGAAGAACTGAGCAGTCTACAGGACCTCAGACAGTGGAACCAGGATGTATCCCTGGTGCACAAAAGGACCTTGCAGACACATCCCCCATAGAGGGATAACTGCCTTAACCTAGAGACAGGAGAGAAACCCTTGTCCCTACTTCACATGACCTGACAGATCTACATGACCCCACCTGGATGGCACTGCCCTACATGTGGAATTGGGGGTGGGGGATGGGAGGGGAGGGTGGTCAGGGTGCATGTGAGGGGGCAGAGAGGGTAAGAGAGAGGGAGGGGGGAGGGAGGGAGGGAGAGGGAACTGGGATTCACACACACACACACACACACACACACACACACACACGAATCACAGGACTGACCACGTTTGAGGGTAAAGGAGGAGAGACTAAGTTGAATCTGAGTCTCCCTTTATGTCCTCAGAGTGGCTATCACCCAACACAAACAAGGGAACTCTGACTGCCTTTGCTCCATGAGGAGGCCAGAGGTGTTAGAATGATGGGCTGTGACTCCACAGGAGAAATGCTCATCAGTTCGGTACCAAAGAACAGCATCAAGCAGAAAGAAATCAGGGGTCATCATGTAAGATAACAGCACAGAAGCCTTCAGAGCATTCTTGTGCCTGTGCTCTCAGGATGCGATGGAGAAGACATCTCTTTCTATGGGGCGTAGAAGATGCTGGTGAAGCACTGTCAGGGTACAGCATTTCACACAGTAACCTGGATGAAACTGAACATTTCCTGCACTTCCATAAGTTTTATAATTCAAATTACCAAGGCATGCAGTGCAGGGTAAGACAGAATTAGCAGAAATCCCGTGGTCATAAACACTTTAAAATAACACAAATACAAAATGGTAAAGTGTTGTTGAATTTTAGACAGTAATTTTAGACTCAGTTAAAGAAATTCTGGAGGTTGGAAAATGGCTCAGGCAACAAGGCCCTTGCTGAGTGAGCACAGGGCCTGGTTTGGATCCCAGCACCCACCTTAAGGAGTAGCTCAGTGGCACACTATGGGGGTTGGGGGGCCGGAGGGGCAGCCGTCCCAGCCAAATCAATGAGCCCCAAGCTCTACGAGAGACCTCATCTCAAAAAATAACTAGAGAGCAGATTAAGGAAGACACCTGATGCTGACCTCTGACCTGTGCATGCACACACATGAACACACCCACAAGAACATGTACATACATCATATGGATTCACATATGTACACTCCCCCCACCCACACAAAACAACCATCAAAGAAAATGATAAAAAAATTACTTCTTTTTTTCCTGGCATTTGAAGAACACACAATATATGATTTTCATTATGAAACATTGCAACACCAGAAAATCTAGGAACCTGGTTTGTTCCTGTAATCTTTACCAGTCAACCTATCAGACTTGGTTTTCTCACACTGCATATGGTCTGACAGTTAAATAAAGGCACTAATAAGCACTCAGATTGTCTTTCATTACTGACTTCTTCTCACATGGTCCCAAACCCACAAAAGCCAGACAGGATGCATGGATGCACCAGGATAACCTTGAAGTGTGTAAATGTGCCAGGCAGCAAGATGGACCTGTTCTCACCCATCGTACCTGGAAGACAGTCCCGAAAGGGCTTTCTTGAGGATCTCGGGGGTCCTGTCTGAGGATGGCGGCATCTCAGGAACATCAGAATCTCCTCTGGCATCGAGATCTCCATACCTGTCATCAATATCTGTTTCCTAAAATTAAAAAGAAGAGCTGTTTGTAAAGTATGTATGTATGTATGTATGTATGTATGTATGTATGTATGTTTATTTTGAGATGGGGCCTCAGAGAGGTCCAGGGGCCAGCCTGGAACTCACTATGTTGCCCCTGTGGTTCTTGCCCCCTGACCCATCCCACTTTGGCTTACCAATACTGGCTTCTGGTTGTGTATTATCACTCCTGAGGCAAAGTATTCTTTTAAACAGCACATGCTTGCCGATGCATTCTCTTAAAGCTCTATATGCCAAAACTTAGTTGCCTAACATAAGACAAAGACACTACTATTGGCCTACACTGAATGCCCAAGCTGCCATAGTTTCTAGCTAAGTAATCTTTGTTATCTTTGGTAAAATTCCAGACTAAAGGATTACCTTACACAAAAGGCATATGAACGGCTCAGATTACTCCTTAAGTCTGATGTTTAATGACAGAACCAGTATTTATTGTTTGCCTCAACTGGGAGAACAGGGCTATTTCTGTACTTTTTACCAAGCATTTTAGTCTGATTGTGTTTGACTAACATCCCAGCATCAACAAGGAGAGGCTCTCCTGCTTGGCTGTATCGATATGGATTTTAGCGTCCATCATTTTTATTAGGTCCCAGGGAAGAAGGTCAAATGGACACTGTATTTCCCCAACAGATGGATGTGATCACAGGGTTTTTTTCAGTTGTCAGATTTAAGTTTTTGATGCCTAAGCCAACTTTTAAGAGGGCACATTCCCCAAGGAGGGATATTACCTTAGCCTAGAGGCAGAAGGGAGGGCCAAGGCCCTACACCAAATGACTTGACAGATTTTGATGACCCCTCCTGGAAGGCATCGCCCTCCCTGTGAAATGGGGGGTTGGGATGGGAGGGGGTTTGGGGGTATGGGAGGGAAGGAGGGAGGGAGAGGGAACTGGGATTGATATGTAAAATAAGAAAAAATAATAAACTTTAAAAAGAGGGCACATATGCAAGCACTGTATGGTGTGTGTGTGTGTGTGTGCATGTGTGTGCGCGTGTGTGCACGTGTGTGAGTGTGCGGTGCATGCTGTAGGCCCTGTGAGCGTTGGGTCTCTATGACAGAGGCTAGAACTTTCAGGATAGAATGGCCAAGGCATTCATAAGAGCAGACATGGCATCTGCTGTTCATTTTGACATGTCCTTCCCTCATCTACACTGCTTCCTCCTAGCCCTCTATGCTCCCAAAACCAACAACCATCAGTAAGGAAAGTGATTCGCAGATGTGAGAACTAAAGGCAGCCAAGTCCAGCCAGGAGGCACATTCCCAACAGACAAGGATGGGCACTGGGCAGAGGGCTAGGAAACAACTTCCAGGAACCTCAACCCAAACTCAACCTTGATCGGCTACAAAGCTTTGGCTGTTTTAACTGCACCTACATCTGAAGAGGAAGCATTTAATATGATGCTGAGGGTCTAGCAAATTCACACAAGTGGTGAGCTATTAGGATTAAATCAAGCCTCCCACTCCCTCAGGTGGCTTTCCAAATAAAATGTCACTATAACAATGAGACAGATGTGATCCCAGAACAGCTTCAACTGAGAAATGCTAGCTGGTAACAGGCAGGCTGACGTCAGCCCAGAGTTTCTCAGTACAGGTGGTCAGCAGGCCAGGTCACCTGACCCCTCAACGTGGAACACAGCACTGAGTTTTCTTGATACTTCTTCTGACTTCAGTGATCGTGAGAGGTGGAAGGGCAGAAATGTGGACGGTGACAAAGCCAAGATGTCACCAAGACACCAAGAGAGCACAAGATCAGGGATCAGGAGCCCAGGATCCATCCTACCTCAACTCAAACGATCAGTGTGCTGCAAGACCAGTGTCGTGTGCCCCCCCCCACACACACACCCCAAGGGAATGAAGCCTTCAGTTTCTACTTGGAAATAAAACCCCTGGGCAGAAATTCAAGTTGTTTTCTTCAAATCAGTGGTTTTTGCAAACCACTTCCAAGTATAGGTGACATCAGCAGAACTGTGCTCAAGCCTTACCTCCTGTGCTGGCTAGTTTTAACTGTCACTTTAGTCAACCTGGAATGACCTGGGAAGGGAGTGCACATGAGGAATTACCTAGATCAGACTGGCCCGCGGGCATGTCAGTGGGGACCTTTCTCAATGCTGGTTCATACGGAAGAACCTAGACCATTGCAGGCAGCACCATTCCCTGGGGTAGTCCTTGTGGTGGAGTGAAAATGCTCCCCACAGGCTCATATGTGCACATGCTTGGTCGCCAGGTGGTGGAACTGTTTGGGAAGGGTTAGGAGGTAAGACCTTGTTTGAGGTGTTGTATCACTGGGGTGGGCTTTGAGGTTTCAAAAGCCCATGCCGGGCTCAGCCTCACTCTCTCTTCTCTGCCTGCTGCCTGATGATCAGGACATAACGTTTTCAGCTCCTGCTGCAGAGCCATTGCCTTGCCTGATGGCTCCACACCATAGCCATCGGAGACTCACCCTCTGAAGCTGTACTGGAGCCCCCAATTAAACGTTTCCTTTTATAAGTTTCCCTGGTCATGGTTTTCATCACAGCAATACAACAGTTCTGAACTGTCTGAGAGTAAAGCTAGCCAGCAAGCAGGCAGCCAGCATGGGTGCATTTATTTCTCTTTGCTCTTGACTGTGTATGTGTGTAGCTAGCTGTCTAGGACCCCAGCCTCTGTGATCTCCCTGCCAGGGATGGACTTGAGAATTCCAAACTAAAATAAACTTTCTCTTAGCAACATTGCTTAGTATCAAAAATTTTTTCTTCACAGAAACAGGAATGAAACTGAACACTGCATCCTCTATGCTGCCATGTTCTTGGTCACAGTCCCCAAATTCTGGGTCTTATCTTTCTTCCTTTAGAGAAATACAATTTAAAATTGAAGACTTAATTTGGCTTATTTAATTTCATCCTAAATAAATAATCAAAGGTAATTCCCAAACATGGCAGCATTACTCCAACACCAGAACCAAATCCCAGTATGGATCCTGTGCTACAAAAGACAGCAGACATGAAAGGTGAATGGACAAAGGATCACTTCAAATGACCAAGCAGCCACTAAGCACTGATGCATGCTGGGTAGATCCAAACCATTTTGAAAAGCAAAGTCACCACTGCTTTTTGCCAAGCCCGTGGTTTAAAGATGGTTCTCCAATATCTTCCCATCATGGGCCCCTGATTCCAAAGCCTACGCCGTTTCCCTTCATGGACTTGTATGTACTTCTAGCTCCCAATCTGCCATGTCCAGGTATGTTTCCATGGAAACCACTGAGTATGCTGACCTGGCTCTTCCACCAAGCCTGTTTTCTACTCTGGAGAAGAAGCCACAGCTAAACCAGTGAGCCTATCGGTCCAGTCCGGAACTCAGCATCTGCACAGCAAGATGGCTCCGAGACTGTCACTGCTTGCAAGCACAAATAATAAAAGTAAACTACACAAAAATCTGGGCAGCCAGGCAATGGTGGTGCATGCCTTTAACCCCAGCACTGAGGAGGCAGAGGCAGGCAGGTCTCTGTGAGTTAAGACCAGCCTGTTACAGAGCAGGTTCCAAGACAGCCAAGTCTGTTACAAAGAAACCCTGTTTTGAAAAGAAAAAGAAAAAGAAAGAAAGGGAGGGAGGGAGGGAGGGAGGGAGGAAGGAAGAGAAAAGGAAAGAAAAGAAAAGAAAAGAGAAAAAAGGAAACAACTGGGCATCACTTCTGGGGAGCATTTCCCTTTGTCCACACACTCACTGTAGCAAGCCTCTCTTCTAGCTTTCCTTCCATCACCCTGCTGAGCATCACCTTCTTCCCCATGCCTCAGCCTCCTATCCTGCCCACTAGAACCCACTGCCGCCAAGACAATTTTACAAAGCCACAAATCTGATCTTACTACTCCTATGCCGAAAACCACCAGGTTGAAGCCAAATCACTTGGTGGTATTTTGGCTGTTCCTACGAGGGGGCCCTTATCTTTCGGACCTCCTCCTTATACTCCACCTTTTACAAAGTGTCTTCCCTCTTTCCTGCTTATTCTCTGTACAAAGTGTAAAGCCACAGCCCTCTCTCATCCACGGGTTCTGTTTCTAACCTCCTGCCCATTCCTCAGCCCCTCTCCTGCAGGGCCATGGTCTGAGCTCACCATCAAGGCCACTTCGTTAGCCTCTCATCTTCTCTGACTCGCAGCTCCAGGTCAGTTACTCTTCAATATGCTTCCAGAAGTCTCTTTACTACAATGACCTGTCTGCTAGTCTGTATTTGTGACCAGTCCACACCCTTTGTGGGGTGAAAATGCTAACCACAGGCAGCACTGCCCACTCCAAGGAGCTGGCACTGAGCAAGTCCATGCTGAATGAAACAATTCTGCTGGCTCTGCTGAAATAAGTTCTCACCTGCTCTCACTATAGGGACCTATGCTGTACTTAGGTGGAATGAGGACTTCTAAGTCCAAATGAATGAGGATTACAAAGCCGGAATAAAAACTGTCTGCTCATGATGTCTGAGCTGAATGAAGCTCCTATGGGGAAACTGATTCTAGAACTCAGAACAAGATGCTTCCTAGATATCAATTCACTTATTTGTACAATCAACAAGGAAATAATCACTTCCGTTTCATAAGTGAGAAAATTTAGGCTGAGATGCTAAGCAAAGCACCCAGTTTACCCAGCTCTAGGTATGCTCCCAAATTATTCTGCACACTAACACCTCGCCTGGAGGCAGCCTAACAGGCAGATCTTAAAAACAGAAATTTATGCTACCTTTTAAATGCATGGGAAATTGCAAAGGACAAGAAGAGTCAAGGCAACCTTGAAGGAATGAAGCTAAAAAAAAAAAAAATCACTGCTGGTTTGCAAGAGTTCTTGTAAAGCCACTGTCATCCAGAAGTAACCCTGTACACACATGCTCATCTGATTCTCAACAATACTGTAAAAACAGTGCAATAGGAGGGGGCTGCAATAACTACAAAAAAGGGAACTCTTTGCCCAGATTTCACAACACATACAAAACCTAAGTAACAATG